ACCACAAGAAGGAATCAACAATGAGACACGTAAATGTAATGAAGTCCAGTATATTTCAAGTTTTCACATATTTGAAGCAGAATGGTCCACTTGTAGCTGGGTGATGAAACTGATGGATGAGTCAATGAATGTCATAAAGACTAACCAACAAAGTCCCGACACTGGTCACGGTCAGGGAAGCTATCAAATTCGAAAAGATAATTTCCACCCTGAAAATAGTAGAAAATGGAATTAGTTGCAGTACTCAGATAAGTTAGCAGTTTGTTGACTTCACCAGCACTGGGATCAGTCTACTGTTTCTAGACTTGACCAGACATAGAAAGAAAACAGTCAGTCTCAAAATAAAGGGCTCACAAGTAGAATGTTTTTCCAAAACATAAATCCGAACCTGAGCTTGTGTGAGATTAAGTAGAGCCTGCTTACTTGAACACTCCTTGGAAGACTTGTGGCCTGAAAAAAGAGAGGAGAGAGTCAGCGTGAGAAAGGCGAGAGAGAGAAGCTAAGTATTGTGAAGGGAAAAAGAACAGACAAAAGCACCTTTAATCAACTTGAACTCCACATTAAGCTTTGTAGTTAATGTTGGGTCATTCGGCATAAAATAAAACCGTTCCTTGGTCTACACACAATTAAAAAGACAAATTAGAAAATCAACGGTTGGTTGCATAACAGCTGTAGTAGAATCTACCTTACAGAATCTGAAATTCATAGTTCATACCGTCTTTTTTTTTTACACATAGTTCATATCATCTAAAGAGGAATCTTTATTGTTGAATCCATAACCCGATCAGAAATTGTGCTTTTTTATTGTTAGAAATTGTGTTCTTTTTTCAGATTAATGCACCCTCCCACCTCCACCCACCCCACCCCCACCCCAAAACCCCTAACCAGTTGTCCAGCAGTTCCCTTTCCCACTTTTGATCCATTGGTGATGCATACCCCATCCTTAAGATTGGATGTGGAAAGTCGTTATTGTCAAAACTGCATTTCGTTAATGCAAACAAAAATAACAATAATGCCTCAGCGCACACTGGTAGTGATGGAGGTCAACTATATGAATGTTCAATATCCATTCTACTCCATTTGTAAACTAGTAAAGGAGATTATGTTAATACATAGAATGAGAGACACCATCTGTTTTAAGCAGTAGTCTTCTGATGGGTAGAATAAATAGATACTCTTTTGCAAAAAAAAAAAAGATAATCATTTATCTCACATACTTCTTTAAACTTGTTTACCAGTCAATAAACAGACCATTTCATGTTCTCTCTTTTTCCACCTCTTCCTACGAGCTCAGCATATCACTTGCAACACTGTTATTGTTATTTGTTCAATCAATAAACTATGTCTCAAGCCCAAACCAGTTGATGTCGGTCATATGAATCCTCTATATCAGTTTGGCTCTATTTTCCTTTAGAACCATTGTGGCAAACCAGTTCGTTCACCTCAGCTAATTAATTGGGAACCTACTACCTCCCACCAGCACTAAGTACTCGTTATCAATAAACTTGTTTACAATCAATTATCAGACCAGTTGATGTTCTCTCTTTTCCCACCTCTTCCTACCAACTCAGCATATCATTTGCATTGACATTATGTTATTTGTTCAATCAATCAGCTATGTATCAACCCCAGAACAATTTATGTCAGTCATATGAGTCCTCTATATCATTTCGGGTCTATTTTTTAAAATAAACTTAACGTCCAGGCCAGCTTGTGCTCGCCTAAACTAATAATTAATGTTATTGTTGTTGGTTTTTTCTTCAAACAGTCACAAGCTACACTGTACCCTCCCCAAACCTAGACTACACTAAGTTTGTTACATTGTTATTGCTGTTTTTTTCTTCAGAATTGAGCATATCAAACAACCATACATCTCAACCACAACGTAACAAGCCAATAATCAAATGAGGTGCAAAGGAAAATACCAATTTCAAAACGCCAGGGACGCCAGGAACCTTGACTGAAGTTTTGTACTTGGCACGCTTAACCACCTTACCATCGGCCATACTGGGTGTTCAAAAAATCGAATATTTTCACTAATACATCAACAAAAAAAATTTTTAAAAATGGGTATTACGGATTCTTCTATTGAGGATCTACCTACTCCAATACTTCGAATTCAGCATTGAACCATTTTTTCCCCCAAAGCTAGGGCAAATATAGAATCGGAAAATGGGATTGAGATACAGTGATTTATGGACGGGGAAGATCTAGGGTTCCGATGGATGGGGTTTAGAAGAGATCAATCAGTAACTGTGTATACATTTTGCTTTTTCTATATAGAGGAGTGATTCCTCAATAAAATTGCTCAAAAGTTAAAATTATATATATTAAAAGAAAAAGTAAATAATATACAAAAGATAAATAAATCAATAAGCAAGATATTGCATATGTAAGGGCAACTTTCACATATAGCAAACAAAACATTTATATTTATATGTTATAACAAAGTTTGTATAATTGCCCTTCATAGCAAACATATAACTGTATAATTCGTTATACATATACAATTGTATAATTTGCTGGCCTAAATTGTATAATTCGCTGGCCTATTTCGCTGGAAATGTATAATTCGCTGGCCTATTTCACTATAATTTTATAATACGCAATATAATTCGCTAGCCTGTTTCGCTGCAATATTTGTATAAAAATTGTTTGGCATACAACTGAATTGAAGTAAAATATTTGCATATTGTATAATTATAAGTGTATAGGAAAGAGATATATGTTTTTCTCTCGCTTTATACAAAAACGGAAACACAATTTATAAACTTTTATTGTATAAAGAGAGAGAAAATTGTATTTTACTGCAATTGTATAATTCACAATTATATAATTTGCTGGCCTTTTTCACTGCAATATTTGTATAAAATTTGCATTTGTATACAATTGAATCGAAGTAAAATGTTTGTAAATTGTATAATTAAGTATATAGCACGAAGATATATGTTTTTGCATGTGTAAATACAATTTTCTTTTGCTTTGTACAAAACAGAAACATAATTTATACACTTTTGTTGTATAAAGCGAGAGAGGCGAGCAGAGGGAGAGTGGCGAGCGAGAATGGGAGAGTGGCGAGAGAGAGTTTTGGGAGAGAGATGACTGACAAACTTCGACAAGCGTTTGCTATGGGGCACAATTAAATCAAACAGTAGCTATTCTATTTATTTTAGGTTATTAGTTTGATATTACATACAATTATCCTTTATTATATACATAAATTAACTAAATTGTACCGAGCAAATTATATATTAAAAGATTCAAATATTAGATTTTATATCTAAAGTTTAGAAAAGATTAGAAGTAATTTCGAGATTGAATAGTCAATGTATATTTGTCATATAGTTAAGTCATTTTGAGTGTATCATAATGTATATTCAATCTTATTTTATGTATATGCATAGTAATATTGTATAATCAGTGTATACTTTCTATTAGTTTTGACGAATTATAGTTTGTGTATACTCACTTTGACTTTTGGTTGTTTTTTTTATGTAAATTCAACATGATTATATTTATTGTATGTAAACTAATTTATTCATTGTATATATTTTAAACTAGCATAGTTTTACATGGTGTAATGTATTGTATATCAAGCTGTTTAATATTTTTGTAAGAAAATACATATGAAAGTTTTGTATATTTTTGTATATTGCATGTATAATATTGTATAATGGATTGTATTTCGGATAAAATATTTTTTGAACTATATTTTTCTGAAGTAAGTTAGCTAATGGTGTATTTATTGAATTTTTCGTCATAATTAAATCACTATTGATGAATGAAACGCTTGTAGAGTTAATGATAATCTAGGAGTTTGAATTGAGATCTTACAAAATATGATGACTAAAAGTTAAATGAGATTAAAGAGGAGTATTTTGAATGTAAATTAAGTGAAATAACACATGATGCGAACGTTTAAATAAAAAATAACACAGTACATATGTCGAAAAGATGAAACTACAAGTATTTTGTATTCGTAATCCAAAAAATATTAGAAGATTTATGAGAATGTTGCATATCGTATTGGGAAGAGGAGGAATTAAGGTTTGCGTCTAGGGTATTATACTGTAAAAACGTGTAGCCAAACCTTGAAATTAATTATACGGAGCGATAATTAATTCAACATTATTCTACGAAACAAAATACTAACTAAGTTGAGAACGCCCGCTTTCACAAGAATATAGATGCTCCTCACCCACAATCCTTCCAACTCGCATTCATTGTCATCTGTGTTACAATAATCATCATAAATTAGCACAATCATCAATAAATACAAACAATTATCATCATCAGTAATCGCTATATATCGTCAACAACCTTCATTATTTACCACTATAATAACATATTATCGTCATTCATCATAACACATTAGGCACTACTTAATACAAATAACTACCGTCACCATTAGCTATTACGTATGATACCATCTATCCACCATTAATCAAATCATTCTTAAATCTTCATATATATTTTTTAAAAATAATAATTTTTATAAACTATATTAAAAAATACATATATAAATTAAAATTTACTATTCAAATTTTACTATATTGAAGGGCCATATTATTTTTAATATAATAAACCAAATAATTAATAAAAATTATATTAAAATAACTAATCGCATTATATTAATTACAATAAGTTATTCTAATATAATTTGTATTCAAATCAAACTAGGGAGAGTTGTATTTAGACTAAACAAACACATAACACCAGCTTAATTATAAGCTTCTTGGTAAAGAGGTCCAAAAGTTGATCGGATAATATTATTTGCCATCCAAATTCGAAGTCGCCGTCGGTAAACATAGTCGTCGGTCATCGGAAGCTTCAGAAGTCCTTCCCCCGGTGACTTCGTCGGAGTCAGCAATTCAATTCGGCAATAAGAAACGAAACGGCGGGGAGGAATTTCGCCGGAGAAATTGACATCGAAGTCCGTTCAACTATCTGTTCACCAGCATCGCGATAAACGAATCAGGTTTTAATTGAAATTGTGGAAGATGAAGATCACTGTAATGACGACTGACGAACAAATCGTCACTCTCGATGTGGATCGTGACGAATCTGTAATTATCTCGTTGAGCTTTTTCTTTTTATTCCTTTTAACTATTTGTTATGGCTGACTTAAAACCCTGTATGTGTTTTTGGATCTTACTTTTGTCTTGCTGATGTTTGTGACAATGTGCACGACAGGTAGAGAACCTGAAAGCTCTGCTGGAAGTTGAGGTTAGTTGGAGTTCTTCCACATTAGATGGTGATTATGTTTGTGCTTGAAAGTTCAATTTTTGGTTGAACGGTTGAAGTTAGTTGAACATTATGTCAAAGTTCAAAATATGAGTATATAATCAGTTTGAACTCTCCAAAGTTGTGAAAGTTGTATAGTATAATATAGTTAATGCAGTGATGTCAAACTATTTGGAATATTGGATTATGTAAAATTTAAACTTTGGACAGCTCGGTGCACTAAGCCCTTGCTATGTGTAGGGTCTGGAGAAGGGCAGGACCATATTGGGTCTTAGCTATGCATCTTTTACCTTGCATTTTTGTAAAGGTTGTTTCTTTTGCCTCAGCCTGTCACCTTGGTGACACAGTCGGCAACTTTAAGTGATGCGCCAAGGCTGGCTCCGCTTAAAATATATGAAGTTTTAGTTGTGATATATATTGTTATGGAGGCACAGTTAGCACTTGTTTTTATAATTGGTTTGTGTTTGTGTTGTGAACGATCAGACACAAGTGCCTCTGCAACAGCAACAGCTTCTGTACAATGGGAAGGAAATGAGGAATTCTGACAAACTGAGTGCTGTAGGCGTTGGTGATGGTGATTTGGTAATGATGGTGTCTAGTGCAGCATCCCAGTCTAGGTGTGTTTTCTGCTCATGTCACTCAAGTTATGTTTCATTATTCTATTGGTTGTTTAGTGTCCCATGTTGTTACGCTTTCCCCTTTACTCTCCCTCATCCTGCAAATACATCTTCTCCTTCATCTTCTGCTAAAAATTAATTAAATGCAAACAGTGCCCCTGCAAATGACTTGAGCTTCAAACAAGATGGATCTGCAGTAAATCCTTCAGCTTTCCAACAACACTTGCGAAATGATTCAAATTTGATGGCCCAACTTTTTCAGGTGGAGCAAGTTCGCCATTTCCTTTCTTTTTTCTTTTGCTAAAACAGTTTAAGAAAGAAATACAGTTCCAAAAGCATGTTACGTTTGTGCAAGATTGCTATTTTCAACACATGTACCTGCTCAGAGATTTTGAAATTGGTCACATCTGTTCATTTCCAATGTGATGTATTATTAATAGAAAAACTACTTTTTTATATGACTTCATCCCGATCTTATAGGTCCAATGAAGGATTTATTTTACTTGAAAGGAAGTTTCATGTTTATTTGGTGGATTTCTATCGTACTTTGTAATTTTGTTGGATCAGTCTGATTTAAAAATGATTGCTAATTATCTATATTTCCTTATCCAAAAAAAAAAAGATTGCTAATTATGTCTTCATTGTGATCTTACATGCAAAGTGAAGGATAGTTAGATTCTGAGAGGGATCATATGCTGTCTGATGGATTCCTCTTATACTGTGTTACTTTTTTGCATCAATCTGGTGTGAACATGAATGCTATCAACTTTGTTCTCCTCCTATATACCTTGTGGTTGGTTTGAGATCAACTCATAACACATAGGTCCCATGAGCTTGTGATGTTTGAACTTGCAGAATGATCCTGAGTTAGCACAAGCTGTCCTTGGGAATGACCTAAATAGGCTACAAGAGCTTCTACGTTTGCGTCATCAGCATAAATCAGAGCTACGGCGTCGTCAAGAAGAGGAGATGGTCAGGAGCTTCTATTGCTAATTTTGCCATCTTTTTGTTCTGTTTACTTTAATGCACGCACTTGTCATCCACATTTTTTGAAGTCCCAATGTTGATTGCTTTATAACTTCTTGTTAAAAGATGCCTACGAACTAAATGCTGGTGATTGGTTGTAAAGAAGAGTAGAATTTTGAAATTCCTTTATGCCGCAATCTGTAAGCATTTATTCTATTCATGTTTATCATGCAATATTTACTAAGAATGTGACATTAGGAGAGTCTTTGAAGGTGTTATCCAAAGCTATATGGTCAGTTTTTACACCTATATTTTTGTCATCTGAAGCTTTGCCCCTGGCTTATATTACATAGGCAGGGTTGCTCAATATTTTTTAACCATTTGATCTTATTTTCTAAGTTATCTGTCTGTCCATATTTGATTGGTAAAATTTCTATTTTCTTTGCCCACCCAGGTACGCCTTTTAAGCGGGCTAGATAAAGAAGTTACATATAGCTGACCCAACTAATATGGGATCGAGGCATAGTGTTGATTGATATTTATTGATTAATATATGTTATGTTGAATCATAGGCACTGCTGTATGCTGATCCATTCGATGTCGAGGCACAAAGGAAAATTGAAGAGCAAATTCGCCAGGTTAGTTGGCACATCAATCTGATGTTGTCCTTATTGTTACAATGTTTTTGAAACTGAAGTGTACTGGCCAGTGTTTTTGAGGCTGTTTCAAGTTATTAGCATCCGTAGTTCCTTTATTTACAATCTTTAATTTTAGTATGGTTATTTTAGCTTAAATGGACCATAAACAACCATGCTTTTTCTCTCCCCTGTTTTTTCTAAGAAAACAATTTGATCTACCACTGTAATAGATAAATGTAAAGGCAAATATCTGTAATGCGGTTAACTTCTTCAGTGGGACATCTGTTATTTGATCAAATATTGATTTGGCTTTGTTAAGTAGCTTTTATACTGAGTCACTCTAATTATGACCTAATGCCGTTAAACAAGTACTGAACCCCTTCTTATGAGCATCTCTTCCAACAGCTCTGGTATGCTGAATATTGATGTATTGGTTAGATCATCATTCGACCAACCTATAAATCATCAGTAGCCTTTTTTGTTTTTATTTATGTCAGTCTGTGGAACTCCTTGTTGTTGTCTGCGGAACTTGTAGTTGATTTGATTGATTTATACATATAGAGCATTCACCCATCTAAAAGAAACATATGTAGAAGATTCACATAGTCAAGATCTGCACAGCCAATCGTTTGATCCCAACTAATTTGGGACTGGACCTAGTTGATTGATTGATTGATTGCTAGAGTCTGGAGCCCTTCCTGGATCATCATTACTCTCTGTGCCTAGTCTATTGCAGTAAAATGGCATAATCCTAAAGTCTTGCCAAATAATTTTTCTGTCTATCCTATAATTAGTTTTCTCTTTTATTCCATGAGGTCTTTATAATTAGTGCTAAATTTTTCAATATGTAATGAAAGTTGGGTCTATTTGTGATAGAGATTTTCCATGCTTGCTTATTTTCCAGAAAGGAATTGAAGAAAATTGGGCAGCTGCACTAGAACACAATCCTGAAGCTTTTGGAACTGTGGTATGAAAAACTACCTTATGCCTTTCACATATTGATTCTCTCTGTAGTCTTAATGGCAGTTGTGTTAACTTTTTGGCTTATTCAGGTTATGTTATATGTTGACATGGAAGTAAATGGTCATCCTCTAAAGGTAGGGATTGTGATTTGAATGTGTTCCATCTTCTTGATACATGTTGTTAATTTGGTTCAGTGGGATTTTTTGTTTCTCTTTGGTTTAGGCTTTCGTGGATAGTGGAGCTCAGTCAACAATTATATCTAAAAGCTGTGCAGAACGTTGTGGGTATGACTTATTAGGCTATGCTCTTTTGTTGATAGTAACTTGTTTGATCCTCGTAATATTTTGTTATCCTAACTGATTATTATATAACAAGCATAATACCTTTCTCTATAAAAAATAAAAATAAATTGCGAGCTCATAAATTGATGAGTAGTTTTAGTCAGAGATAAATTTTTACCTTACAAAAAAAAGGTCAGGGAGATGAGAAGAGAAGAGTTCCTCTTGTTTTTTTTTTTTAATTTTTAATTGAGTTATGTTGTTCAAAAATTCATATTCAAGAATGACAGAAGAATAATGCTAGACAAATTAAAAATTCAATGTGCATTATAGAAGCACAGCATGCAAAATCTTCAACTCACAGCATGCAAAATCTTTCACTCCTGCTTGTAGACTGTCTGGCACTAAGACTGCATTCTTTTCATCGACATGCTATGGTGCCTCAAGGCTATTCTGGATTTTTTAGTTCTGAAAATCATATTAGCTGTCTTATAGTACGGAACACATTACACACCTATACTATAGTGTTACTTTTTCATATCCATTTTTTTCATTTATAAGATTTCAGAATAAGCCAGTAGGTATTCATTAGCTTGATGACGGGGTTGAGTGAATAACTTATAAGTAAAAGTCTAGGGTAGATGGGTGGACCCATCATCCACCAAGTTTTAAACCGTGTGCCTGACCCTTGGGGTTTCATGGTTATTAAACAGTAGAAGTTTATAGGCCAATACATGAGTCACTTTGACATTGAGGGTTTTGGTTTTATTTACTGTAGAATAATGTAGCAATAAATGTAACAAGTGTTTGTTGCTTGCTTATTCTTTTCCAAATTCCAGGGATAAGCTAGCCCTGGTTAATGAAGTATTCACTGCTGACCCCTTCCCTTGCAGATTGTGGAGATTATTAGATACACGCTACAAGGGAATTGCTCGTGGAGTTGGTCAAACAGAGATACTAGGTCGTATTCATGTTGCTCCAATCAAGGTTTGTTACATCCTTGGAGCTTATGTGCTACTTCAGTCTTGTGTCTGTACTTCAAGTGCATTGATAGTATACAACAGATGCAGCTATTCCTTACCATAAATAATTGATGTAGCTGTTCTACCAATGAGTCCTTTCTATTTTCTCTTGCACTGCCTAGAAATTAAATAGATTGTTGGGTGACTACATTTTGCTGCTGTCAAATGCTTTCCATGTTCTATTACTGTAGTGTATTATGTCTTAGTAGTCTTCAATTTTATGATCTGGATGCCTGATGCTAACTATCCTTTCTATGGCTAGCAGTCTAAATTTTAAATAAGCTACACAGTACACACTAACCTTTATGCATAACATATAGCTATACATAATAGTCAAATAATTAATAATCCGTCAGTTGCAACTTGTAAGTAGTTTTAGCTTATTGCCTATTTGCTGTAAATCAGTTTTTCTGATGACTTGTCCCAGTAATCAGCTGGTGATAGTTACATGCTAGACTCATAATACATAAGGACGGCGTTTATTTTAGTAAATGAAAGCTTTCAAATTAATGAGAAGCTGCATTAATATGCTGCCTTCAAATTAATAGTAAGTTCCTTGGAGCTGCCCTTCTAATATGTTTCACTTTAATTTGCTACTGTTAACTATGACAGATTGGAAAAATCTTCTACCCTTGTTCTTTTGTGGTGCTGGATTCTCCCAATATGGAATTTCTCTTTGGACTTGATATGCTTCGCAAGCACCAGGTTTACTTTCTTGCACTGATTGCAATATTTCTCTCTTTTCCATTTTTTATTCTTTTCAATACATCTTATAAGCTAATGGTAATGAGCTTTTGCAGTGCATGATTGATCTGAAGGACAATGTTCTGAGAGTTGGCGGAGGAGAGGTTGCTGTACCATTTCTACATGGTTGGTGATGCTTCTGGTTACTTTGGTACTGGAAACTACTACCTTTGAGCTTTTACTAAGTTCTGTGTATTTCAAATTTCAGAGAAGGATATTCCCAGTCATTTTCTCGATGAGAGGAAGGCCGAGGCTTCGAGCTCAGGAGCCCAGGTAAAGGCATAATTGTTTTGTTTCTGAGACAAGGTCTTTTCCCTGACTCACATTAGTGTCTTTAATGTGCAGTAGTATATAATAAAAAGAGTTGAAGTAGGGCTCAACAATAAGCGTCTTTAATGAGAGTAGGGCTATACATGTTGCTGCATGTAGTTTAATATGAGCAGTAAATAATTAAAAAAATCAACCTATTTCAAGAGCTATTGTTGTACAAATTGAGTGCACTTGTGGTGATATGCACTGTATGCCATAAAAGATAAAGTTGATTATGAAACTAATGGAAAATTGTTGATAAAATGATTAGGGTGGCCTCTTTCCTTTTATGATTTTGACATTCTGGAGGAAATTTCTTTTTTCTCCTGGGGTTGTTTGAGCCAGTTTGCTCTAAGATGGTGCAATGCACTTTCTATATCTTTAAGGCTGTACAGCCCTTTCATAATTTGTTATAGCATCATTTTCCTCTTAAAATCAAAATTTTTGACCTTCTGTGAGCAGTGCTGTTTCCTTGATTTTTATTTATTTTTAACGAGGCAGCAGTGCTAAACTAGATTCTTTTCCTTACTGTACCAGGCAACATCAGGAGCAACGGGGAAGACTGATCCTACAAAAGGAAGTCCTTCTGGTTAGCTTCAATATCCAAATATATTTGTGATACTCCACCTAGATCATTTCAACTTTTTGTCTGTGATATGAACTGTTCCTACGCACCCAAGGATTCAATCGGATTTCAAAAAGTCCTTCACCCCTAATTCTTTAAGATAATTTGCTTCATATGATCTAGGATGAGTCATGTCAACATGACATTCTGAATTGTTTGTTTCTTCAGCTATTTTTATTCTCTCTTCTGAATTGCATTTTCATATAGTTTAACCTTGTCTTAATCCACAGGAAGTGCCGGTGGGAACTTAACACAGGTAAAATTATAGATTCATTTGTTCCTTGGCAGTCTGCATAAATTTTATGTGCTGTTTCATATCTGGACTCGATATCTTATCTACAGGGACCTGAATTTGAAGCCAAAGTTGCAAAGCTTGTTGAGTTAGGCTTTGGAAGGGAGGCAGTAGTACAAGCTCTCAAGTTTTTTGATGGTAACGAAGAACAAGCTGCCGGATATCTATTTGGGGGTTGATTATTTTCCCTTTTCTGTCATAGAATTAAGATTTGTGGCTTAATTTGTATACTCAAAACATTTTTTGGGCATTCAAACTCATCTTAGAAATTAATTATTATTGTTGGACACAAAATTAACCTTGTTGTCCTGCTGATGGATTTGCTCAGGGAGTGGAATTCAAGGTGAATTATTTGGTTATATGGTTTGGTTGGATGTTAATTTAGACTTAATGCATGAAAGGAAATTTGCTTTATTTTCAAGTTCACCTGCACTTCAATTTTTCATTATAGTACTTCCAAGTGTGTAATCTTTTTCAATCACACATTGCACACATATTTCCATTAGATACACTTTTTTTCCAATTATTTTCATAGTTTCTCCTTCCCTATTTTGGTGTATCGAATTTTCGTAGCAGCTTTCTACTGTGAAGGAGTTGAGCTAGTTCTCAATTTCTGCATCTGAATTATGAATAACAGTGGATGTAGTAATCGCTTTGATTATGTTTTTTCTGTGTATATCCTACCTTCCTTGGATCCCACTTGTGAAATTACACTGAGTACATGAGATTGTATCTTTCAGGGTTGTAAGCTCGTTCCGGAATAATGGAACTCAATTGATAGAGAAACCCTTGTTCTTCTGACTCAGGAAAAAACTAGTGAGACTCAAAGTGTACAATAAGTTTGAAGATTGCATTGCCAGGGTAACTGTAGTTGAATACAAGTTTAAAATGTACAAAAGCTTGAACACATTTCAACTTGACTTCCTTCTCTACATCATGATCTCTCTCTCTCTCTCACGCGATTGAGAGATGGAACGCGACCAACAATTAATGTTCAGTCATCATCTGTGCCAAAATACCTGTCACCAAACTCCCCCATTCCAGGGATAACACGATATTCATCGTTCAAACCATTTTCTATCTCAGATGTCACAATCTTTATTCTTGGAAAATGCTTACAGACCACATGTACTCCTTGGGGTGCCTAGTTTAAGAACAACACTAGTTATGATCTCAGAATTATGTTGCAAACTTGCAATAGAAGCTGTACTAGTTAAGAACAACACTACTTGTGATCTCAGAATTATGTTGCAAACTTGCAACAAGATCTGTACTTGTTTATGCACTATGACAATTGGTATTTGTTGAAGGGATAATACATGAACATGACCCTTAACTTGGTTTTAGCGAACAACTATGCTCTCCAATTTTAAGTATGCACAAGTAGACACTTAAACTTGTATAAAATTGAACAAGTAGACACACGCGTCCTACATGGCATAATACACGTAGGAAGCCACGTTGGACACAAAATTTCCATGTAGGAAGAACGTGTCTATTTGTTCAACTTTATACAAGTTTAAGTGTGTATATGTGTACACCCAAAGTTAAAGAGATCATAGTTGTGAGCTGATGCCATATCATGTTTATGTATTATGCCTTTGTAGAAAGGTGGATTTAAAGAGAATCAAACCCAAAAATTGGATGAACCAGTAAACTTACAGAGATAAGATTAAGGAATAAAATGTTGGACTCTGGGACTCCCTTTTTTAGCAGTAAAGAAATAGCTTGAACTGCTGAATTCCCTGCAGATTGTTACATAATAGGCTCGCTTATGCAATCGTTCGTCAAGAAAAATTAACAATCTGGATGATGTAGGGCATATAATTCTTTTGTGCACGTAAGTTATGATCGAGGTTGTTATAGGATATTTTAAGAAGTGAACATCCTTCACAGTAGCAGGCGAAGAAAGCCTACCACGAGAATAGTTTTTTAATTGGGACGATAGCTCTGAAAAGACAAATACCAAACTTCTCTTTCATCTCGGGAGAAATACGATCAGGAGGAGCTAATTCAAACCCCATGGCCCATAGACTAACCTGTGCCAAGGATAGGATCCAACAAAAGGACATGCCTTTCTGCAATATCTTCTGGCAGTTTTTCATATATCAGCTGTGACATTGTTCATGCCATTAATGAGAAAATGCATTAGAAATTAAAAAAATGAAAGAACACAAATGACAATGTTATGATTCGGAAGGACAAAGAGATCACTAACCTGCTGACCATTATCGCCCTCTCTGTGGATAAGAATCTTGCCTATCTTGATACCTTTACAACATGCACGCAAGGCATTCTCCATGCTCTCTCCACTGCGCATAATTAGAAATTCTTAAGAGAACATAGCAATCACAAAATCTACTTTTGAAGGCAGAAAAGAAGCAACCATGGTCACTTCTAAGGTATTACAGTAAAACGCTTCAACACACTGAAGGAAGATGATTAGGTAAACAACATATACATTCAACAACACTAAACCAGCTGGTTCGGAATGAATTACGACTATCACCAATTCCTTTGAATGTAATTCGTCTGACCTGACAATACATATTTTTATTTAATTTTGAAAACTAACACGTCAAATTTAAATATTGTCTAGATCGCAAACATGTAAATATTTGCATATCCATTGATATAAACCTTTTTAGCTGACATTTACTCTAAGCATTATAAATCTTGATCTCCTCAGGGTAACATGTATTCATCTCGAGAATTCGAGAATGAAGCTTTGCACATCCAATGTCAAACCAACAAGTTCCTCAGAAACTAAGAGTCTCGCATTTCTTATCCTTAATTATTCTCAGTAATAGCGCATAAATTATATGCATCAATACAAGAACAGAAATCTTGTATTGAAGCATTATCAAGCAAGACAAACAATAATTACCTTCTAATTACAGAGACACCACATAACCTCTTGCAGAAATCTACACCACTGTATACAGATCCTGCGGTCAACAGACGTGGGTTTATTTAAGTATATTTTTCATGCTCGAAAACAGCTAACTTAGATATGAAGAATAGTTAAGTCTATGAAAAAACATGATTTCAAAGAAAAACTGAATCAAATGATGATATTGACTTTAGTCCATGAGGGCCTTGTTCCACATCAGTCATGTCATATCAGTCTTGTAATGAGTGATAGCACACCATGCTATATGAAGAGTTGGAAAAAAATTCCACATGTAAATGTAATGAGACAACAATAGAACTAAGCCTGGCCCGTACGCCTAATATAAGCAGACCTTACCAAATAGGCTACAATAATAGAAGAAATCAAAATACTTGTGAGTACAAGGCATGAGTATTGCATCATGGGGTTAGCACTTACCAGTTGGAGTGATCACCTGTTTTTCTGTAAATGGAAGATGTCCTAGTCCATGTTCAACAACCTGGCATAGTGAGGCATATATAAGGGATAACAAAGATTTGGCTTTCTCGTGCCAAAAACCTAACTTGATTACCATGTAAGAAAGAAAAACTTACCAAACGAATCAATCTATCAGCATAAAATATGAAATCATGCTTAGTCGTCTGTGCATCACGTATAAGTGTATGCATGCCACGTATCTAAATGAAACAAATAACAATCTTTAGAAGAAAATAAAAGCTTGATCTTGAAGAACATGAAAAATGACTTCAAGATGAAGCTTAAACAGATGGGGACTAGAAGATTATCTATCTAGGAACAAGATGGAAATAGCACCTGGAAAGTAGATTGAATAACATATAAGCTAGAGTATATTTTACAAAGATCATGTTGACCAAGTTTCGTCCTAATATGTTGCACAATCAAATCGATCGCGACATGGTTGTCTCCACCCCGGGGAATGATAATGTCAGCATACTTCTTTGTTGGAAGAATGAAGTCATCAAAAGCCGGTTTGACAAACTTGGAATACTGCACAAATATTACATAACGTTATTCTTGAAAAGAAAAAAAGTTACAAAAAGAATTATGCTAAATTTTGGGCAACTTGTCAGTTTTGAAAAGGTCATGTTAGAACCTTCCATCGAGACATCAAGGTGCATGCACAGACATGAAGTGAGAAAAGAAACAGGACAAAGAAAATTATTCATCAATCTGTTGATCTTTCTAATAACAAATGGCATTTTGTTGGACGTTGGGAATACAAAAAAGAAACTGATACCTTGACAAAAGATCTACCAATAACAGCAAAAAGTATAAAAGAGAAGGAACATATGAAATGGCAAAGTAAGCTCACAAATTCTTTCAATATTCATGTAAAGCTCAGCTAACCTGATCTAATACTGTAGCAATATCTCTATTCTTTTCAACAGTGTCTCGTCTTATTCTCCTTGCAAGGCGTACATCAGCATCTGCACTGAATTTTAAATTATGAAGCCACAAAAGTAGAAGATTCACCATAGATGTCTGTAGAAATGGAATGGAACAACAAGCAGAAGCTATATCCTCGTGATTAAGACTAATCGGCAAATCGAACAATAGGAAGAGCTCACAACGATTGGAAAAAGAAACCCTGTGAAAAAAAGAGAGTAAAATAACTCGAATAATCCGATATAATATAGATTTGGTGCTTCTACCCATACATCCATGTAGCATACTACTATTCCTACTAGATTCATTTTTCTTCATGAGAAATCTAATGTGGTCGAGACAAAATATAGATCTGCAACAAAAAAGTCCAACTGGTGTTTGAAATTTGGTTTTATCATTTTTAGGTGAAACAATTCCAAAGAAGAAGATGCATGTAATAAAAAAATCCGAATGAGATAATGAGAAGCATTAAGCTAATACAAGAAACATAAAGATATATCAAAGAAAGGAGAGGAAAGAACCTGTATCTACAAATATCTTCATACTCATCAGATCTCGGACAAGAGGATCATGAAAAATGAGTATGCCTTCCAAAATTATAACATCTGAAGGATTGACCTACAAGTATTTTATGTCAAAGTGTTTAGTGACATTAGATAATTCAGCATCCAAAAAATGAAACTAGCCGCAGGCAGTAGCTTTTCCACACGTCTACCTTAACCCTCTTTCAGGAAGAGTATCTATGTTTTAAATCATTGGAATGTTAATCTTTCTCCTTTTTCTTCCTTGTTTTCTCTTCGAGGCATGTTTGGATCATAGACAAAAAAATGTTCAAACAGATGGATGACATAAATTGACACTCTTAAAAGAAATTTGATTGATGTCCATGCAACATTACAAGCTGAAGTGAAACAAAAAAGAAGAGCTAGCATAAAAATTTACCCTTCGAAGAGGGAATGCGTCATTTTTGTAACTCTTAAAATCATACTTTGGAATATCTACAGCTTGCCCATGCTTCAATTTCTCCATCACACACAGCAATTGCTCGGTGTCAAATGCATCTGAGTAGAACACATAACTTAGAGCAGTCATTATTCTAGAACATAAAAGTGACTTTTAATATTTATGAAATGAGTACATATAAAACAATACTAATTGTTCAAATCCTTATTAGCTGATTTCATGGAGTTGACACTGAGGTAGCTACTACTATTTTATTTTATTTTATTTTTGAATTGTTTATAGGAACTTCTGATAAGATTAAGGACTTTAAGGCCTTGATAGCTCAACCACAATAGCACATGTGTTCCGAGTCACAAAACTTGTCGTTAATGGCATCCTATTACTAGTAGTGGTCTATAGGCGACAGTGAGAATAATAAAATGGATAATTGAGTATAACGAACTAGACTAACCAGGATGGTCAAAGTTATACTCGTGAACTTTTGTGAGTTCTTCTGGAGTCAAATTCTGATAAAAAGAATCCTGCCCATTGAAACACAAGTCAGATAAATCAGTGTTCAAGTTTTGGTAAGCTAATACAAATATGATGCAAGAGGACACTGAAAAGTAGTGCAAGACAGACAAATATCTAAACCCTATGTTTTTTCTGACCACAACTTCAGCAATGAACATCTCTGATGAAGCCTTAGCTGTGTCCTATTGTCTTTTTATTGATTTTCACATGTAAAAGCCAAGATCCATGAGTCAATGAAAGATCGATATCTTGAAACTCATTTTGCCGCAAAATGCAGAAGACAACTATGAACTTTCAGATTGAATGAATTAAAATGCAAGTTAAGTTCCCCTCAAAATGTACTTTATTGTCATAAAGTCAGGTGTGATAGAACTAGTACATGGAATAACCATAAAACACCAAATTCTCAGCAAAAGGTATTGGATAGCGTACTAATGAATAATTAGATTATATAGTAATAGCTCGACGAATTACATTTTCTTATAAAACTAAAAAGTTGGAGACTCTCCCCCCACCCCACCCCCCACCTCCCAAAGGATAATATGGAATAGGACCCCACCTAGCCTATACCTCATCAAGAAGAAAGGTGACGTGGCTGTAATAAGCAAAGAGTGAATGTTTATCAATTATATCTGCCCGGGGGCTTCGCTCACTTGGCAAGGTTAAGGGCTTTGTGGCTAAGATCATGGGTTCGAGCCCTACGTCAAATGAACCACACCTAGTATTTAATGGGAGAAGGGCAGAGGGTTGGTCCATCATCCCCAAGTTTCGAAGGTTGTGGTTGGTCCTAAGGGTATAAATTTTTTTTGAAAAAAGAACGTATAGGAAAAGATTATGCTGCAAGTAAAATTCAGAGTGATGAAAGGTGTTCATTTTTTTACTCTGATGAAAACCCACCTGGTTAACTAAGACAACACGCTGATCGTGAAGCTGATCAATAATCAAATCACAAACTGTAGTCTTGCCTGACGCAGCACCTCCAGCAACTCCTGTAAGGAAAACAGTTTATATGTAATATGAGCATGGTTACACTAAAAGAGTTAGAATGATTCAAACAGATAACAATCATGATATATGCAAACACAATCGGCATCTATAGCCTTGAACAGAATGAACCTTCAATCAGTTAAAAGATTAAGTTTCAGAACTGTAGCCAAGTTGCATAAACTGTTCCCATCGTTGACCATAATCCCAAGAAATCTCCTCAAACAGAAGCAACAAACTGCTCTTTTGACCATACATCAGACAACAAACTCAGAGAAGAGAAGCTTGTGGCATATGCTTCCAATAAATGCTCAACTAACTCCACGAAGACGAGATACAAATTCATCGCAGCAGGCAAGATAAGGATCAAGCACAAAAACAAATCCAGGCCTTAGTCAGATAAAACTTGGTCTGGACTTCTATATCAAATAACTAAATGAATAATGTGATGCAAGCACAATGAATTCCTATCCATCAACAAATTCAACATCATAATTTTCTCATCTAATGTGATCAGGCATATGCATGTATAGCTTTACTAAGTTCTAAAGATGCAACGAGCCATTAACATCCATCCAAAATGATGACTGAAATTGATTGTTCTGCATATATTTGTGATAAAAAGGCTGAGTAGTTGTCCTTAGTTTCGGAAGCTAAAAGTATCATGTACACTGAAATTCATCAAACATAACCACGCGAGGAACAATTCGGTGATTATCTCCTTCTATGATTAAACAAAGCATGATAGCCTCCAAGGTACAGTTAGGTGAGAAAAAGCTCAAGCAACAGCAAAGGATATATTACTGCCTCGACATACCTATGATAAAGGGTTGCTTAACATGTTCATCTATAGAAGTTGCTGGTTGCTCAATCTCTGAAGTATGTGGCTCTTCTAAATGGAATCCAGAATAATGTACTCCCGATGACGCCTGTATCAAATCTTCAACTGCTTTTGAACCCATTTATCAATTGTACGCTCTGCATTTACGTAGTAATCAGCTAATGGAACAAAAGCGTACAGAAGATTGTACCAGCAGAATAAAATAGTCATCCAGATGGTAACTGACATACTTCCAAAAAACCTTTCCTTTCAAGTGAGATCTTGTCCACGCATAACTCCTTTTTTTCTTTTTGAAAACGTAAGGTCCATAATTCATGATTCCTTCGACTCAGACACAGATGTTTATACTTTGTGGCACTTTGCTTTAAGATGCTATACGATACTGTCACATTTCTTGTATTCACCGGTTCCCAAAAATTTACAAAGGGCTACTGAGCTTTTGCTTGTACACATTCATGCACTTTCGATGAATAAAATACATACTTACTAGTCTTACAAAACAGTTCATTATTTCTTGATATAATGAGCATGCACAAGTATTAATGTACATAGAGATCCAAGAACATTTGGTTTGTGATAATTGACCAAAATTAGTAGTCAACCACAGGAGAAAAGTCTTAGTCAAAAGTATTATGTCCAGATAAAGCAAAACACAATCTAACCATCGCCAAAAGTAGTTTAACTCATCTGTTAATATCAACTTGAACATGACAACTATATTCAAAAAAAAAAATCTCCTTCGCACCCTCCTTTTTTCTATTTATTATTTTTCGCCTAAAGACTTGCTTCAATTTTGACTCCTGGCAATGTCAAGTACATGTATAAGACTACGTTGGATAATTCCTTAAGTGTAATTAGAATTTGGTCCAATTAAATCAATACGGACCATTGGGAAGCAATTTTGTAATTGATGCTTCATGACTCTAGTTTGGTTCTTCAAGTCCCAATGAAGTATCAACCGACAGCCTCTCAATGTGCTTACTACACTAAAGAAATACCCCACTTAAGTGTTCAGAATCATCTACTTAGATCTTCACCGTCCAACAAAAAATAATTTAGTAGCACTTAATTCCTATATGTCCTAGTTATTGATAGATAAATCTCCCTAAATCCTAATTACTGTGTGTTCATGACTCTGCTGTATTCCAGTTCACACATCCTCAGTTTAGTACAAATGATCACCTAGAACAACAACAATTGTATCCCTTAGTCCGAAATGATCACCCAGAATCTTGAAAATATAATTCAGTGCATTTCGGCAGCTAAAAGGTACGAAAAAATGATTGCTCCTTTGCTGCTACCAAATCAAGGTTTTCACAAATTCGTACGTGTAGTCATAATTTGATAAAAGGAGCTCGTTATATCCTCAGTACTGCATATTCACGACTCTGCTTTATCCTAGTTTCAAACTGTAAAGAAATGTAGTTCGGACTAGCTCATGAGGGGGGATTGTGCAAGGCCATATAAAGCGACCATCCATTCCTTTTTCATCCAATGCGAGACTCTTCAACACAAACGTCCTCAAATTGAGTGCAAATGATCACCCAGAACACTGAAAATTTATTTCAGTTCATCTCAGCAGCTAAAAAATACGAAAAAGATTGTTCTTTTCTTTACAACCAATTCAACCTCACAAGGGCCCTTAAGAGTATGAAAGGGAGGGGACCAGAAGAATTAACAAATAGCAATAAAGATTATACCTGCTTATCTACTACATCACTTATAACAACATAACTGTAATCGCACAAGTGGAGTCTAAAAAGGATAGTAGATACGCAATCGTTGCTCTAAGTGGAGTCTGGAAAGTGTAGTACATACGCAAACTTTACTCTACCTTCGCAGGCTAGACAGACTATTTCTAATACACCCTCGCCTCAAAAAGAAATGTAACCAACACAGGACCACTATAACACTCAAACATAACAAAAAAAAAACAGTACTTTATCACAAGAAAAAAGAAATCAACTCAAATCAAAATCTTTATCATATAGGCCAACAAATAAAAGATATAAGCTTTTTAACTAAAAGGGGATCCATATCTGCAACAGAAAATCAGCTAAAAATTGAACAGCATAAATAAAGCAACCTGCTAATGGGAATGCAAAATTTAGATTCTTGAATATACCTTTTATAGCTGAATTCAAGTAGATTGAGCTAAAAAAAAAGATCCTTCACAGGAAAAAAAGTGAGATAAAAGCAAAAAGATAGTATCTTTATGCAGTATATATGAATCTTTAAACAATTCTGGTGCGTACCTAAGTGAATTTATAGTGGAGAAAGTTCGTAGAAGGAGCGTTTTGATGTATTATTGATTGATATTTTTTTGTGAATTTTTACAGCGACACCAAAGTTTTACACTGATTTTTTTAGATAATAATACAATGGGGTTGCACCAGAAGGTGAAAAAATTGCGATCGCTACGACTCGATTAATTCAGATTCGTTATATCTATATATAGCTTGTTAAAAGAAGTATTGTATTGTTAATTTAGATACTATATTTATTTTGTTTATTACTCAAATTTTATTATATCATATCGTTAAATTCATTTTTTTAGCTTTGATTTTATAGTTCAATTTAAAATTTATTTTGCTGAAATATCTATATATAGCTTGTTAAAAGAAATATTGTATTGTTAATTTAAATAATATATTATATTTTTTTTGTTACTTAAATTTTATGATATCATATCGTTAAATTTATCTTCTTAACTTTGATTTTATAGCTCAATTTAAAATTTATTTTGCTGAAATATCTATATATAGCTTATTAAAAAAAGTACTGTATTATTAATTTAAATATTATATTTATTTTGTTTGTTACTTAAATTTTATGATATCATATGTTAGATTTATTTTCTTAGCTTCGATTTTATAGCTCAATTTAAAATTTGAAATTTGTTTTGCTGAAATTTACTTATAGGATAAGAACTAAATTTACTTTTAGGATAAGAACTATATATAGCAATATAGTTTTTGGCATATTTTAATGGTAAGATTTTGTAGTTTGCACTTATTTTATTTTTATAATTTTATATAATAAAATTTAAAAGAAAATTATAGTACGGAAATTGGAATGATGATAAAAGGTGAAACCGTTACAATTTACACGTCAGCGTCGAATCAGATATGGGTCCACTTGTCTTTTTGATGTGCACAATAAATTTGGGTAAATCTACTAACCTGCCTTTTTTTTAATTTAAATAATATTTTACGTGAAACAAGATATTTAAGATTATTTATGTTTTTATCATTAAATTTTTGGTTTAAATGTAATTATAAAATTAAATAATCAATAAAAATGTGTCTTTTTTTTTAGAGATTACAATCTTATGTTAAAGACATATTTGGTCTTATTGGAAAATTTAATGCATATTACTGGGATAAATTTGCTCAATTTGGCATAGTACAATTACATGTCTTTCTTTTCTTTTTATAAATTTTATGTTTTTGTCGTTGATATTTTTACATTCATTATTCAATTAATTATAATTTATATTATTTATAGACACCAAAATAGTAAAGATACTCCTCTCAAGTAGCTTTTCATTTTTAGATTTCTATCTTTATATATATATAAACTTTAAACTCAAAATCTTTAATTAATCATCAAATATTTATACTTAAAATTGATCTGTTAATACAAATTTCTGTATTTTTATTTTCTTTATAAATATAGAAATGGCTCAGAATCCAACACACTTTTAGTTACAATTTGTCAGACAAGTGGATCAGCTTACCATTTTGGAAAGTGTACACTATACTTCTGCTAAAAAGATTTGTTAAATCTACTTTGTTTGTCGTAATTTTTTTTTTATAATTAAATTATAAAAATTTTAACTAATACTTTAAAATATATTTTTCCTTGTAAAAGATTTTTTAATTTATAATAATTTTTATATAATTTTCAAATATCTAAATTATTTGTTTAAATTATTGAATTAGTTCTGATTTAATTTTGAAATTAATCAAATTAATTTTTAAAAATACAACATAATAATTAAAAGAAGACAAAATAATACATAAATAGATATTAGCTAATCTAGTTTTTCTAAATGTACCAAAAAATAAAATTAAAAAATGTAGGCTTGAACTAGACTTTCTTTAATAGAACTTTCATATTTAAATCTTGAAAGTGGACAAAATCATGTTTGAGGATCGTCCTCAAAAGCAAATTCTATATGTGTGAATTCAAATTTAATTGCATTTTAATATAAAAATTTAGATTGATAAAGAAAAAAAATTATATATTGTAATGGAGCATGGTTTTCAAGGGTGTATTGTGATCAATTTGCACACACTTCCACTAACTCATTGGACGATAGGAATGCAAACATCAAGTAAATATAAATATATGCTCAAGAAGAAATAGACTTGCATGCTTGAGTGTTATAGCTGAATTCGAACCCGAAATCTCTCGAGTGTTAGTATACTTCCATTTCCAAATTCCAACCACTGAACTATTCTCAATCAGAGTTCTAGTTATAGCTGGATTCGAACCTGATATCTCTAGATTGTTAGTATATTTCGATTTCCAAATTCCAAATTCCAACCACTAAACCATTCTTGAAGCAAAACCCTCACATTCTAATGAATAATGTCCCAATCACAATTCCAATTATACCTAGATTCGAACCTGAGATGTTTAGATTGTTAGTATATTTCCACTTTCAAATTCCAATCACTGAACCAATCTTGAAGCAAAATCCTCACATTCTAATGAATAATGTCTCAATCACAGTTCCTGTTATAGCTAGATTCGAACCTGAGATCTTTAGATTGCTAGTATATTTCCATTTCCAAACCCCAACCACTGAACCATTCTTGAAGCAAAATCCTTACATTCTAATGAATAATGTCTCAACCACAATTAAGTTGGAACATAGAAATCCTCTTTGTCATGACAATGCCACTCCATATAAGCTCATCTTAGCTAATATTATACAAAAGAGGCACTGGAAAAGACATGAATCTTTTACATGACTAAAAGGCTCTAACTATAGGACGTAAAGTAAACGTACTAACATGACTATAACATTTTCTCAATGTCGCCTACATAGATCATTTTCTTCTGTTGTACCAAGTTTAACTAGGTCTGCATGGATTCCAAGAGATTGTAGGTCTTTCACGACTATCAATATCTTTTAGCGATTACATTGTCTAAAATGGAAACAAAACCAGGATAAATCAATTATGGAACAATCCTGCTTGGCCAAATTTCTGGAAGCTAAATCCTCAAACAGGTACACCAAGGAAAGATTTTCTTTCATAATAAAGGAAGTTAAATGGTTAAAATACTTACATAAGATAGTTAACACTAATAATAGATATGGTACTCATGGTAAAACTTTCAATAGCTGCACTTCAAATATTAGAGGCTCCTTCATGTGAGACATAAGGCTACGCCTTGGTCCAAACTGCAAGAAAACATTATCTCCTGATAAACCAATAACATTGACTATAAAAACATGTGAGGAACATGAATTCCTTGCATAATCGACTTTACAATTAACCAGCCAAAACTATATCCAAAGAATTACGCATAGAATCAGTTAGTTGGGAGACGAGTGTAGGATAACAGCTATCAAAAGTAGCAACAACATACCCAGTTTAATCCCACAGTGGGGTCTACAGAGGGTAGTGGGTACGCAAACTTTACCCCTCCTTAAGAGGTAGAGAGGTTATTTCTGATAGATCCTCAGCTCAAAGAAAAGCATAACAAAGCGATTCAGATAAGAAATAACAAGAGTGAAGAAGTTACAACAAAATACTAAAGATAGCATGACAAACATTCTGAAAAGAAGATACAGTATCTATAACACAATAGTACTATAATCGAAGACAAGAAACAATAAATAGTAACACAAATGGAAGAACAAGAAATTACAAGATTAATGCTATGACTACTACTAGGTTAATTGATAATATCCTTGAAAAACATACCTCTTCAGGTACTGGTTTTAGGTTTTCACTGATGTATCCAACGGAAGGTGGTATCAATGCTCTTCGTTTTCCTGCAGTACAGGCCTTACAGTTTTAATACATAAAACTGTTTACTTTGAAAAACGGAAAATATTTTCTTAAGGGAGTAGGAACAACCTCCGGGCTTCATTCCAATAAGGACTTCCTTCAGACCTTCTATTATCTGCAGATATTCATGGACACTTTTAAGACAAACAAAATCAGTTAATTATCAACTACACCCCTCCCCCCTTCAAACGTAGACATATGGAAAGAAGAGGGACCAATGCAGCTATAGGACCTGGCTTCCTATAGTGAGAAGACCTAACAACCCAGACATCCTTAACCTCACCAGTCTTGATGCCAGGGGGAAGTGAAGGAGAAGAAACGGTAACGCTACTATAGGATGTGATCTAGGCTAGTGGGAAGACATAATGTTAGAATCGCTGAGCAAAATACATATTTGACTGTTGATGGTAGGGTACATTTTGCACCTGAAAAGACTTGAGTACACATTGCTCAGCAAGACAACAGCTTCTCCAGGCAGTTATTCTTCTTATTACTAGTTTAGCTTATTACTAAGTTTTTCTTTTGTGTGTGTGCCTGGGAGGAGAAGGCCGCTAGTATGTACAGAGACTTCTCTAGCATGTTGCTTCTTTAGAGAGGAGAAAATGTAAGAAGAAACCTAGGAACTACAAATACATTTTTGATCTCATTAACAAAACTTATCTACAATACTATTAACCTGGTTTGATGAACTACGTGGCCGGTGGCACTATTGGACCACAACCACTATATATCTCCCCATTTTATAGGCACAAATGGCATCAATATACAAAAGACCTTCTAGCCATGGCACTTAATGGAAGTCAGAAGGTTGCTGTCTGACCTTCAGAATTTCTATTTTAAGCCCAAAGCTAGCAAATACCATGACCTGTTTATCATCCAGAGGAAGTATGACAGGGGCACTCTCTCCGCTGAACTGGTCCACGGTACTACATTAAAGCAAAATGGAAAAGTTCAATGTATATTCCACAGAACAGAAGAAAGTATGACATGGATTTACTGATGAAGACCTATCTGGAGGAGCAGAACATAAGGTGATGCTCTCATCTATTCTATATTTCTCAACCAGCAGTCATATAATTTTCTTACTTTCTTAAGTTGATCTTTATTTAAAACAGTACCTGTGGACAAAATATCCATTTGATCGTCGGCATACATAATTAATTTCAACGATATCCCCTTCACGAGCCTCTGGTCCTTCCCCTTCAACAACATCTTTAGAAGACCCAGCAAATGGTTAATACTCGGAAATGAAACAAGAATGACATGGAGGGCTTGATATGTCCCCTTCCAAGCATAATGTTATTATGCTTGTCATGCCATCAATGACAAAATGGAACATAAAACTGTAAAGAAGAAGATCATTAAACAGTTATTTTAAACATAAGCTGTTTTGCCTGTGAACTTTTTCGTTGGACTAAAATTAACAATTTTGTATCCTGTATGTTATATGCATGCACCAAACATTGAACACATGAAACCGATGCATGCCAAACATGGAAGCGGGTGATCACGTTCCATTCAATTATAACAACTTGAGCTCAAGCTATAAAATGATCAAAAGAGTCGTGAAGAAAGATCAACTGGACTCATGTGAAATCAACCTTGACTTGTTTTCCCAACAAAGAAATCCAGACCGGACAATTTACTTTGATATTAATCAAATCAAACTCGTAAAAACTGGTCTTGACTTATATAATGTTCAAGAATATCTTGAACATAGCAATCCTCTATGTATCATTATTCACCAAACATAAACCTATATATCTAAATTGTTGAGATTGAGTCCAGCTGGTTAGTTATTTTGTTTGTGGGCATGTCTAGGCATAACTCTCTCTATCTATGTGAAGTCATCTTTCCTAGAATCAGCTTGGGACTTTGACATTCATATACAGGTAAAATTTAGTTTGAATGTTCCCTCCAAATTAGGATTTGAGGAGTTGATGATGTTGTCTCAAACAAGCCAACTAAGCTCGAGGTTGAGCTATACTATCCACTGATTAGTCAAATAGCAATGAGCACGGCTATGGCGAGGGTTCTGAGAAAAAAAAATAAAAAATCTCTATTCGGAGAACAGGTTGAATATATTTATTGTGTAACCTTAAAAGAGGTTATACCTTGTAGCCTCACTCCACTATCAAGCTTTAGGGTCCTGAATGCTTCAAATCCAAATTAACAAGAGAATCAAAATAATGACAGTGTTTATTTAGGCCAGATAAACAATTGAATTGTGGAGGTAAGCAACCAAATAAAAAGAATAAAATAAATGGAAACAACATTTACCGGATAATATCAGGTTCTCTCATCTCATGCATTGGTGCAGATAAGACAGGACGAATACTAATGAAGATGGGACTCAATCCAACAAATTGCAGAACTGATCTCCTCAGCAACTTTTTGACATTAATGGATGGCATCCTTTCATCTGTGCTTTTAGGCACAACAATCTTCCAATGTTCAAAGTCTTCAAAGCTGTTTGCATAAACAAGATACAAATTACAAGTAGGATTAAACAGATGACAATTTGGGACTGAGACATAGTTGTTGTTGTTGTTGATTAAGCTGATTACACTTCTAATCTTCTTCCTTTTCTTTGTTCTCTAACATAAAAAATTCCATTCATCCATAAGCTGGACAATCTTGCATCAAGTTTATAAAATGAAGGCTATTTGTCTATTCAAATAATTCCATCAGAAAATAAAAATAAACATCTTGATGGCAACGAGCATAACTAGCAAGCTGTTCAATCAATAACTAAAACAACAGCCTTTATGAACCCTGACCGCCACAAAAAACAGAGGCGGAAGTCAAGTCAGCACACATAGCATCTATAACCTCCTCCTTTCCGGTAGTAGATGCAATTTTGATTTCTAACATTGCTCGGTGTTTCTAAAACTATTGCATAAACAAGTTACAAATTACAAGTATGATGATGCAGGTGACAGCTCTAATCTTCTTCTTTCTTTGTCATATTCTGCATTTTCTCTCTATTAACAAAATTTTCGCTCATCCATAAAGGCATAAACTAGACCGTCTTCTTTTAATGGTAATAGACAGTATGAAGCGGCAATACAAAAGTGCGCAAACTATAAAAATGAGTCTAAGTAGGTTGTCTCACACTATCACACTCAATTTCGTTCGCAGCATGCAATTGACCAATTCAATTATATGCTTATTCAATGTGACTGAGTGAATTAGAAAGTTCCCCCTTTGCTATTCTGGACTAACGCTCCCAAAATAAAATTACTAAAATAAGAACAAGGGTATATATTATTAGAATTGAGCGAAGCTCTACTAGCTGAGCTATATCCCAGACCCAAGTGGATCATACATGAAGTAGTTAGATGCTTCTTCTATGTCCTTATCGAAAGACATGTATGTGATCTAGCAAGACATGGAATGTATTATTGATGCTAAGACAACCAACACTAAGAAAGTGTTGAGGTTACATCCAATAAACCAGACCACTTTGCATCAAGTTTATAATATCTAGGCTCTAACCATTGATAAATAACATAATTTGTGTATGCAAATCATTCAATCAGGGAAAACTAAATATGACACAGAGCATAAACAATAAGCTGTTCAAGCAATAAGTAACATATATCTATGAACATATCACCACCACAAACCAGAGAAGTATTTAGAAGTTATTGACTTTTTCCGAAATGTTCTCTCACTTTATTTTGAAAATTAGTGTTTAGGCACGAAAATTCAAAATCTAACTTGAAAGCTGAATTTCAAATTTAGTACATTCAGGCATGAACATAATTCAAATATTCTTTGCAAAATATATAACCACACACAACTTGCAACTCGATAAATTACAAACAAAGTGAGAAAATATGGGTGTAGCTACAGTATTCAGTACCAGCTCAAACTAGCCCAATAACTTTTGCTTAGATTATTTAAGAAGTTCATCAAATATGCTCGCTCAAGTGACAAATTCATAACCGTAAACTTCAAATCCTGCTTTTAACCACTACTCCTATCTAATAATAGATGCAATTTTAACATTAAACATAAATCTAACACTTGAAACTAACCATTTCTGGTAATGAGCAACTAAATCAACTTAAAAAACTGGAAAAAAACACTTATTAAGGCAATCGAAATCAGATCGAAATGAGAATACTTGTTACCATTGGCGTTGAGAAGCGAAGAAACATCGGGATCGGAAATTGGTTCGAAATTGAGGAGCTGCCATTGTCGCCGATGAAGATTACCACACCAATTGATGGGAATTTTTTTGCTGAAAAATAAGAGGGAAATGAAAGAAATGGTGGGAAATGCATAAAGAAGAAGAGATAATGACAAAATGGTAACTTAAGTTTGGTTTAATGACAAATTACTCCGTAAAACAAAACATGTGTCTAACAGACAAAATAATATAAAAATTGTTTGATACAGTAACAAACTAAGAAATTATTTTTTTTGCTTACGATAATTTGAACACGTCTTCCCGTTGTGTCCAACCTGACGACATCTACTACATCTAATCTTTGATTCTTTGAATTTCACATCAGCAAAACTCTTCCAACGTTCAAGTTACGGTCTTCCAACTGATCTCTTTGGATCGGGTGTCATCAATTTAGGCTCTGAAATATAACTTGGTATATCCATGTACTCTCGCAGGGTACATGTACAACAGGGACGACATATGCATCATTTCCTGTTTAATTATAATAAAATAACAATTAGTATAACATCTTATAACTTAAAACAATATTAAATTTTCATCATATAAATTGATACAAACAATTCAAAATTCATTCAAAAGTTCAAATAGATTACAATCAGTGCCCTTCGAACCCAATTAATACGTAATTCATATCCATTTTTTACACATTTCATACCCAATTATTAAACAGTTACATAACAATTTATTACACATTTTCATACTCAATTAATAAAAAAATTATACAACAAATTTAACACAAACAATTAAGAATTCATACAAACAAAATTTCAAATATATTACAAACCGTGCTTTACAAACCCAATTAATACAAAGTTCATACCCATTTATTACACATTCATACCCATTTAATATACATTTTATACAACAAATTTTAAATACATTACAAACAGTGTTTTTCAAATTGCAATTCATACAAAAACAATAACATTTCATATTTCATACCTTATCGATACACGATTAATATAACAATGATTAAGATTACCACCTTCATTCGATTTTATCATACCAAATAACACTTCATATTTCATACCCTATTAATAAAATCTATTGCAACAATCATCAAATTTATCGAGTTTCATAAAATATGTATTAATATATTCATGCACATTATTTAACACAATGTAAAACTAAAACGTCTACAATGCACCATATTTGTTAAAAGTACGATAGGAAAATAACAGAAATTGTAATATGAACAATATTGTCAAACAAGAAATCAGTAAAACTATAATAAATACTTACCCGACGGATCCCATCTTTCATCATGTTTAATTAACATGGATATATTGTTATCCTTCACAATAAATCACGATATTTTTTAACAGAAAAATAACTTCAATCACTCAAAAAAAAAATTGCAATATGTAAACAAAAAAGAGAAACGCGATATAAAAAAAATTAAATTTTAATTTATTTGAGCGTTTTAAGGAATAAGATCATATTTTAATTTGATTTCAACTTATTTGAGCGTTTTAAGGAAATTGAATAATCTGATTTTTTTGAATTTCTTGATATGTGCTAATTAGTTATTATTTATTATTAATTGATTTTATTTTAAATCACAGGAATCTTGCTACTTTCCAATTGAAAAACAGAAACAATTTTTTATAGTTATTCTTTTTTTTAATATGCTTTTTAATTATTTAAATCAACCTTTATTTTATAATAATATGTTATAACTTGACATATTAAATGTTTTATATTGAAAGTCAAACTCCAACGTTTGAGAATATTACTATAAAAAAATGCTATATATCTAATATACACAAAGTTATATATCTTACATCCTCCCAAACTTTATGGGCTTATATTCTTGTTGCTCCAATATTCTAGGTCTAAAATTCAGCCCACTAAGAAAATAAGGGCTTAAGGCCCATAATCACTAATGGGCCTGTTCAAATCCAGTTAAAAATACCCATTTACATTCTCTTCTTCGTCTATCGAGAATATATCGAGCGCATAGGGTTTGTTTTTGGATTTGAAAAGTGAAAATTCTGAATAAATCGAATCTTAAGTTTGTGAAAATCAATCAATGGGAAGGAGAAAAGAGCGTAAACTTGCAGCAAAAGGTGCCGCCGGTCGGAGAGTTAAGCTCGATCTCTTCGCGGAACCCCCTGGTAATTCACTTTTCTCTCTATTTTCATGTACATATTGCTTCAGATGCAAATTACTGAATATTCGTTATGAATTTGTTAATTTTTAGATGTTAGCTTGGTGAGCTTATGCGAGGTATAGTAGGTTTCGAATCCGGGTGAAGAATAACGTAAAATAAGTGTGATTTTGATATATGTATAATAGAAAAGCTTTTGTGTTGTTCATATATTTGAGCTTATCCATTTCGATTGACGTGTGATTGATATAGCGATGGCTCACCAAGTTTATTTTGATGATAAACTTTTTGAGCTATGCACTTACCAAAAAAACTAGTCTTTGCCCTTTGGGAACATGCCTTGCTCTTTTTGTCCTTGTCATTATATAGAACTTCTATGTATTTAAAAGTTGGAGTTATTAAATAGGAAGTTGGAAATGAAACAACAATAACAACAACATACCTGTGTAATGGAGGGTAGCACTTTGCTTAATCTTGGGAGGTAAAGAGGTTGTTTTCGGTAAATCCAAGTGTTCCGAAGTGGTGATGTTAGAAATACAAATTTTACGATTCAATCATTAGATTAAATTCATAATAGTGGGACGGTGCATTTTCCATCAAGCTTGAAATATGTGATGCTAATTAAGATAATATAGCCTCTAATGGTATGAATATGTCAATGTCGTCTTGCCTTAAATTAATAAATGCATGTAAATGCCTCTAACCAAATTAGCAAAGACATGTAGAAGAAAAACATACATTTTTGCAAAACGTACAAACAATAAGCACAATAAATGTATATTTATCTTGTCCCCAAGCATCCGAAAGTAGGATAGGTTTTTGGAACATATTTAAATTAGAATAAATAGAAATAAGATTACCATAAAACCCGGCTTGCACTCTGTAATTAAATATTCCTGTTTACACAATCAAGCCCTCACAATTTGCTGAAACTTAAAGTATTTAGTCCCATGGTATCCAAAATGCAAATAAGCTAACAATGAAAGTATTAAATACATTAAATGTAAAATGAGATTGAAGTTTGATCACGGTAACAAAAAAAAGATGCATATCCATTCACTATTGCAGTTGTTTGTGATTGAGACTTGAGAGTCTGTGCCTTTTCTGGTCGCTATTGCAGTTGTCTCTCTGTTAGTTAGTTACTTGTATTTGAACCTAGCTGGTTCAGACTTGATTACTTGTCGAAGATCATTATGGGGATTTCTTTTAAATGGTAAGGTATTTTAAGATATTTAATAAAGCCAACACTAAGAGAGTACTGAGGTTACATCCCATAAATTCACAACATAAAAGAAAAAAAGGAAAAAGTAACCCTGTGTGAATATTTGTATCCAATTAAGCTTATCCCATATGATAATTGTCTGATGTGTCGAGTTGCATGTCTGCAGGGCTGTCCTGAGGATGTACTTTTTTTTTTGTTCTATGTGCTTCTTACATGATATGGATAACCTTTTGAAGGAAATTATGTGCATCTACTGTACTACCGAATTATCACTCTGTGCTTCTTTATAAGATCTTTTTTCTATCCATGTATGTTGATATTCAAGCAATTTCGTTTGCTTGATAGGAGATTTAGGTGGCTCCTCTGTCCAAGATGAAGTTGGAGGGGAAGAAGAATCCAAGATTCATGCCGAGCTACCTAATTCACCATCGTCTTCAGGTGGGTTCCGTCAGTTTTCTTCCAAAGGACTTGTAGAGAAGACATGATGTGACCAATAATGTTGGTGGAAATTATTGATTTACTTTGTAGAAGACATCTTGTTTGTACCACAAAAGTTTATGTTTTCAGAATGTAGCCTGCTGTGGTATTGGGAACTTTCAATTGGTCATCAGTTACCGTCAGCCCCTGCCACAGTCAATTATTGAATACGTCTTACCTATCATGCCTTTTTTGGCGGCATCAAAGGCGTACTGATTACAACAAGAGTATTTCCTCTCCTCGGTTCGTATGTTTCTGTCTTTATTTGCTTTATGACTTTCTGACAGTTGATGATGTGCTACAGGTGGCCATGAACTACAATGATCCTAAATTCATCAGTCTTCTTTATCTAATGTTGTTAATTTGTTGCCCTAAATTGTATACTGGCTTTATTATAATATTTATTGGGTGTTCTTATCACTTGGCTTGAACTTCTCTGACATTTCCTATTTGGCCCTCAGGTCAAGAACCGGAGAATCCTCTTATGCTGCTTGGGCAATATAGTGACGATGAAGTGGATGAGGAGTCAGTTGAAGTACTTAAACGTGCTGCTTCAGAGGATTCTTCTCTTGATCATGAAGACAAGGTGAGCTGTAGCTAATTTATTCACTTGCCGTGGGCCACTTAATTTGTCGGTTGATGAGCCAATTGTTTTGGTAAAGTGGATTCTTTTGCTTGCATTCTGATTCAACAGTGATATGAAGGTGAATTATAACCTTAAATTAGAAGAAATGTTCTGTGTTGTATTTGTTTACGAACTTTCTCAGCTTGACTCCCACTTATTTACCCTATGCTTCAACTGGTTATTCTTCTATCTAGGTCGTAGCTGATCTTACTACTCTGCAACTACCACTTCTAATACACTTGTGATTGCCTTCCCCTCCAAAGTTCCAATTACTGATACTATTGGAACATAAATTATGCTGTTTTTTGAGATGATTTCTTTGAAAGTTTTTTTTTTGTTTTGTTATTCTAATGATTATATTCTTTCGGATTACGGACTAGGTTATTATTCTTTGTTAGCCTGACAATGCCTCTACTTGTACATTTTCTATTCAGCTTCTCCATCCTAGATGGATGGGGAAGTTACTTTAATGCAGTTGATCTAATAGTTTTGTTTTTGTGTCTGTTTTGCTTAGGGAAAGCACTCTGGCGACGACGAGACTAATGTTAATGGGGAAATTGGTTCTACTGTTATGGAAGTTGAAGAGAAAGCTATTGACAATGGCTCTGATCTACTAAGTCCCTCAGATAGACCTGCAGAAGATAGTGCTAGAGAAAACAATGCTTCTGTCTCAGTTGATTTACATGCACAGTTGAGCGTGTTGGATCAGATTACTGCCCCTACAACTTCTGATGCACAGGCTCTAGGGGATGCAAGTGCGGGGTGGAAGATGGTGTTGCACGAAGAGAGTAACCAGTACTATTATTGGAACACAGTAACAGGCGAGACTTCATGGGAAGTGCCTCAGATATTGGGTCATGCAGTTGAACAGAGGTTAGAAGAGAAAGTTACTGCTGAAACTGAATGCATGGGCCGCACCACCTTGGAGAACTTAGAACCCTCTGCAAAAATGGATATGGACACTAGACAGACTAGTGTCAGCTACAGCGACATCAATGAATACAGGAAGCCAACAGATGACGACCTACATGATAAAAAAAGAGACAATGATGAGGACCAGAGTGGCACAATAAATGGCTTTGAACAAATTGATTCACAGTGCAATGAAATATCTTCTCCTGATGGATCTCTTTCTTCAGGGAAATCAGATCATGCTCCTGAAGGTAATTTGAATGGGCCAGGTGAAGATTTTACAAAATGCAGCGATGCAGATTATGTTCCGGAAGGTGAAGCTGAGGCAGACTTTTCCTCTGACCTGGTAAAACATTGTGAACGTTTGCTAAAGCAACTGGAGACCATGAAAGGGTATGCTACTAAGGTTTTTTGTACTTCTCCGTGGATCTTTATTCCCAACATTTTTTTTGTTTTTCTTGTTGCACGTCTGATAAGTTTCCAGGAGGATCTTTTCACCTCTCTCCTTCTTTTCCTTCCTTTGTTTGTTTTTACTGATTTATTTCCTGTTCAACAGGTCTGAATTTTACGTACAGTATGATCGAATTTCAAAATATGCATTGGAACTTGAGATTAGGCTAGCTGATATAAGGTCCTTAGCCTGTAATGGGCTTTCATTACTTCCCTTCTGGGTGCACTCTGAGAGGAAGATAAAACTGTTAGATTCAGAAATAAATCAACTTTGTGGGCTATTCTTATCTGGACAACAGAATGATGTTGAGGCTGATCATGTATCCCACAGAGGCAGTGATAATGTAAATGATGCAAATGGAGAGAGTTCAAGCTGTCCTGCCACCACTGGGTATGCTTGATTTGACTTGGTTATATTAACAGTAAAGAACATGATAAGTTTTCTCTTCTTATAATGATGCTGCTTCTTGTCTGACCAACTTACATATTCTTTCAGTGATGCAAGTGAGGAAAGTGGAGCCACTGGGGTACATGAAGATTTAACTCCTCAAACAGTGCTTCATCCGGCTGAGGAAGTAGACATGGATGTAGATATGGAAGTTGAAGATACAGAACCTTCAGAGCAACAGACAAAATTGGAGTCCTCAATCCTGGAACAAACACCTAATGTTCCTCCTCCACCTGATGAAGACTGGATTCCTCCTCCACCTCCTGATAATGAACCTTTTCTGCCACCACCACCTGATGAGCCTGTAGATCATACACATGCTGTTCCTTCAAATATGGAATCAGTTCAATCTTTTCCTTACAACTTAGCTTATCCGGGTTCAACATTTGATTACTATGGGCAAACTAATCCTGAAATTGCTAGTAGTTTATATGGAACTTCTGATGGTCAGATAGCTGTTACTCATCACCCTTTATATTATCAAATCCCAACTACATATAGTGTGACTCCTGTGGCGATCAACCATGTTGACCCCAGTGCATACTATGGCCATCAGGATGGAGCACTGCAGCCTGTCTCTGTTGTCAGTGGTACAGAGTCTTCTGGTCTTCCAGCTATACCAGTTCATGAAACTGTTGCCCCTGATGCAACTCCATCCTTAGATGTTAACAAGGGGTCACGATCTGATTTATCAGCAAAATCTGAGGCTGATGTACCTGCTGATTTGGAGAATGAAAAGATATATTTTGATGTTCCTGCCACACAATCCTCTTTAGCTACAGAAACCGTATCAGCAATGGAGGGTGTTGGTGTGTCTTCAACATCTGTCGCCAGTGGCGCTGTTGCTACTGCTTCAACTGCTCCCTCAAAGGTTCCATCAAAAGGTAAGTTGGGCAATCTAAATTTGCTTGTACTTGTTTGCGAGTTGCAGTTCTTACATTTTTAGTATGTCATTAATATCGAGAGGGATTTTCTGCTGCATTAACATGTGAAACTCTTCGTCTTGCTTACTAAAGGAGCTTTTCCAATGGATATGAAGCTGTCCATTCTGATTTTGCATTCTTTTTCTCTTCAGTTTTGCGTAAAAAGCGGACTGTGGGTGTGGTATCCACATTAAGGTCTAATAAGAAAGTGTCGAGCTTGGTTGACAAGGTAACTGCCTTCACCTGGTGCTTCCCTTCCCATGTCCTTGAAGATTGGTTACGACATTTTTGCTATAGTTTCTCTTAAATGATTCTCATAATGCTTATTCATTTCATTAGTGGAAAGCTGCCAAAGAGGAGCTGCATGCAGAGGAGGAAGAAGAACGTGAAAGTGCTCTTGACAAGTTGGAGAAGAAACGACAACGAGAAATAGAGGTCTGCTAATGCTATATGCAGTTGGTTAGACAGCCTCTGCTATATCTAGCTTTTTTTTAAAAAAAATTTATGCTGAACTTTGTTATGTTTGTAGGAATGGCGTGCTCAGCAAATTGCAAGTGGGGAGGCCAAAGATAACGCTAATTTCCAGCCACTTGGCGGCGATTGGTATCACTTCTCATCATTTTGTTTCACTGCGTTATATCTGTATGTTATATGTTTTCTCGATAAAATATCTATTATGAACTGTCTTTGAAATAGTGGACTTGTCTTAGATCCTCCTCCTCGCTTGCCTTACTGATCTTAGGGGAGTTGGGGTATTCTTTCTTTTTTGAAACAGTAAACTCTTTCTATGCTGTACTAATTATTTCATCATGTATATATTGCTTGAATCATATGGATGCACACATAAAGACCTGAGGCTAACTCATGCAATTGTGCAAGCAGTGTCATATACATTGAGCATAGTAAATTATAGTTCCTCACATTTGTCTCGATTGTATTGATGATATGTAGGCGAGAGCGTGTGAAACGAAAAAGAGTAGAAAAGATGAGGGAGGCTGAAAAGCAACTATCTGAAGAAAATGAGCAGCCTGATCTGGATGTCATTTCAAGAGGTCTTCCATCTGGATGGAAGGTATCTTTCTGGCTCAGGTGTTTTCTGTTCCTTGCATGGAAGATGAAATTTTGTTATGTGTATGGTACATGATCCAAAAGCCAAATTATCTTTGCACTCTTGAGAAGATGAACTGATAGTGAGCTATTAAAATGAATATCATTCTAATTTCAGATTATGAGTTTGTCAGAAAGCTAAAACGAATCACTGGAAAACGTTAGTGGACTTTGTTGAGGGTTTTAACTCACAAATCACCTCTCTGTGATATCAAAAACAACCTTTTAAGTTGGAAATCAAAACTAATAGAATATTTAACTTGTGCTTGTAACTTAAATTTGTTTGGATGTCTGTCGATCAATTTTCCTTGTTTTTCTGTTTGTTGCTTAAATTCCAATTAGCCATCAGCTTGGTAAGTCCTGAAATCTGGGTAGATTTTGCATTCATCAATGCTCCATTCCCTGGATACGCCACAGTTTGGTGGAACACCAACGTTTTGCTTTTGCTCGTGTTTGTTAGTATCTTAGTCACACCATCTGTATACAATCCAGATTAGAGGTTATTCGTCTCGATATTCTGCTTGTGCTTTACTAGTCTGTCAATTAAGCTATGTATGCTGATGATTGTGTACCCGTGTGACTGCCCTCCAGGCTTATTGGGATGATTCGACGAAGCAGGTCTATTATGGAAAAGCTGTGACATCAGAAACGTCCTGGAATAGACCAACTAACTGACGAGGATCAATAGGAGTTCCTATATTACATACTTTTTATAACACCAGTGGTTCTAATATTATTAGCAGTTGCTATCTTGTATATATGTAAGGTTGTAGTGATGTGATCCAGCAGTAGCTGTTTTGAACTCGATTTGATTTCTTAATGAGTTCTAAAGTTCTGTTTTTGTTAGAGACGAGCTTTTATCGTTCCCCAGTTCTTGAAATCGCGCCTTCCCTTCAGTGATTATCTGTTTATTGAAGCCAATTTTACTGGGCTGATCTTGAGTCAAGCTCGAGTTACTGTGTTCAGAGTACCACATTCCTAGTCAATTTGAGTTTGGTAGTTGATCAATGTAAAAGGAAAAAACAAGCTTGGGTTGTTCTCTTAACAAATCAATTTTACATTTACGCAAAAACTATTTATGTGTGTATATATGTACACACTATTAAAAGTAGAAGTGCACGGCATTAAGCCATTTCCTATAAAATTAAATATGAGGTTCTACTTGCTTTTAGAGTAAGCTTGTGATCAGATTAATTCCTTCACCAAGATAATTGAGGGTGTGTTCATGTTGGTTTAACACTAATTTGGTAGTAAGTGTTTATTTTTGAAAAACTTGTGACCTAAAACAAATCATAAATACATGTATGTAATTATATAGCGCCTCATTGAGAGACCAACAAAGTTGGATGTCTAGATTTTACTGACAAAAAAAGGATGAATGTTTTACAAATTGAAACGGAGGGATTAGTAAATAATATAGAGACACGTTGTGTAAACATAAACACATGTGAAATAGGCCTATAGAACAAAGTAGAATATCAATGAAATACAGACATGTTCTATTTATTGGAAGAGAAGCGCAAACAGTTATCACTAAGGTGGAACTTTCTGTTATTCATCCTTTTTTTTTTGTCAAAAACAGGGTCTAGCTCGTTAGATCCGAGTTCAACTAAATGCAGTATTTTCAACACTAAACATCATCAAATACAGATAATAATTAATAACCATATCAAAAGAATAATTTCAGTATAAAGAAACCACATTAAAATGCACTTGAAACACCTCAATCAATCAAGTTTTGAATGACACAAAACTATATAATATTTTCCTAATCATCCAGTAGGAAAAACCACACCAGTCTTCTTGATGAAGTCATGTCTCCAAGAAAATGTCTAGGTTTATATAAAGAAAAGAAATGGAATGTATCTATTAAAGATAAAGGTGTCTCCCACACTTCCAATTCCTGAGTCCGCCTCTGAGCACAGATACGGGAATAGTCAGGCCCCAAGAAGATACGGAACACCGGTGAAGAAAACAAACCAGAAGCACAAATAATTCTAAAACATTAAATGTTATAGTTCAATAATTTTGTCTCCTACTTCTGCCTCTTATATATCTTCTCCAAGAATGACTTGAGAACTGCTTGCATTGGTTTGCTTAATTTGGTTTCTTCATCTTCAATGGTATTTATCAGCTCTTCATACGTATTCTCCTCATATTCCCGGTACACATCCTACAAATTTCCAAAAGCAATACGCGAGTGTCAGTGGTGTATATAGCTTATTAGGTATAAGGGTTCAACCAAATGCAGTATTTTCAATACAGAAGCATGGATATATATGTGAGAAACCCCCAACTTTTAATAAATACTATATTGTAAACTCATAATTTGAAAAGTAGGATAGGGTTACTTAAAAGGTTGACGGTATCAAGTTTAAATCCCGAGTCCACCTCAAGTCAAATACCATATCTGAGATGACATTTTACTAAGAAAAGAATACAACTTCATGACTACTTATCAAAGAGAAATTAGAGAGAGCAGCAATAGTAAAGAAAGGAAAAAAGAAAACCTCAAGTTTGAGATCCTTATAGAGCGCCTCAATTTTAGCAACACAAGCTTTATCATCTATTCCATAGTTCTCCTGCAAACAAAAATCTTACATTTAACATATTGCTCATGCTAGTTGTTTGCATAGCTATGTTGCTCGGCCCTCCAAAAATATTGCTGCGCTCATAGCTTTAGTAGGATCAAAACACACCCAACAATACTTTTGAAGAGTTCGAGCAATATAGTTACAAACAATGTTAAGCGGTGACAAGTTTTTTAGGCTTACATCCAATATTTTCTTCTGCTCCTCGTTGCAGCGCTCTAGGGCTTTCACAACCAACCAAGAACACTTGAAATCTTTAATATCTGTGCCATTCTGATAATAAGACACAAATCGTTATAAAATCTCTACATTTTCTAGTTAAAAGAGCTACATGATCAATTTTCAGGATTTTGTTTAGTACCAACTTTCTTATAAAACCTACCTTACCCAACACCTGTGGATCAGCAAAGCAGTCCAGGTAATCATCCTACAAAGGACCGAAAGCTTTCAGTCAGAATTTGTAAAGTATATCTGTAGTCAGCAGATGGGATCTTAGGTAGTTCGGGGAAACAAACTAAATGACTTGGACATATCAGATAGGCTATCACGTAACTCGTAAGACACATAATTGTTAGCCACATCCATAAAACAAAAACTTTTTCATTGTTTGACCATACGGCACATGAATCATTAGTGTGTCAACAAGGTGTCTTAGAACATTTAGACTTGTTAGGGGGTGATATGCAGCTCTTTTGTAAGTACAGGAAATGTCGTGTGCTGAAAAAACAACTTTTCAATCTAAAAACAAATGTTAACAATAAGAATGAATATTCTAATATGTTTCTTTTCATAAGTTAATGAGTATGTCATGTACAGATAAAGACCAGTTTGGTCTCAAACGTTTTGTATTTCTTTTTTTTGAGAAGGAAAACGTTTTGTATTTCTGAAACAAAAAACAACTTTTTTCAGAAAAACTTAACTAAGGTATGTCCCAAAACAAAGTTTTCTAGATTTTCAATAAGAGAACCAAAATCAGAACTAGTCTTCCAAACCAGCTACTTGGTTCACAAAAGAAGCAAATGCTTTGATCTATAGACGTTTTAGTACTTCATATTTGATTATAATAACTCACACATTTTCAACTATTAATATATGTCGGTGTTTCCTTTTTGGGAACCTACTCTAAAGCGGATTATGCGCAACGGGACAGCTGATCTCAATTCCAATGTTAAGAAGCATGGAATTAACCACTCGTTCAGATCTAATCTAACATTTCTTTCTGAAATCAACATAATTCATATATATACAAAACCTAATCAAAACAAGTGTGTTTCAAAAATGTATTCCAACCATATTTATGAAACTAATTTCATCAAAACAAAGCTTCTCTTCAAAAATTATATGTTATGCAAATAATTGATTTGCGAGATTTGGAAATGTTGTCAGATAGATCTCATGGTATAGAAGAAGATACTTGAATAGATGCATCAGGGTTAATCGTAATTCTTACCTGAACTTGGAAATATATTCCCATTTTGATGAGTATGTCCTTGGCATTAGCATGATTGTCAAGATTCTCTCCGGCCATAAGAAGTGCACATGCCACCTGAAAATATAGATTAAGTAATTTATATATACTTTAATTATGCACATCATCTTGAGATAATTCCCATTAATCTGTACAGAGAGTTCATTAAGAGGAACACGAAGATGTACCCAAACTAAGCACACACAATTTTTCTGAAGTTGTGGTTACAATTAAGAATCTAGAGAATAAATCAACAAAAACATTAAAATAATAAATGGGAAAAGGGCACAGTTAGCTCAGGCTGAGGCGGAAATCTAAAGAGCAATTTAGATTCATCAAACTAATTTTGTTGTTTTTTGAAGCTTGTAAAGGGTTGAAAGTTAACTGGGGGAAGAGCAGTTTTTGGAGTGGGGAAATTGCCCACAACTTATTTGGGTTTATACACACAAAGATTTGAAGATATTGGACAACATAGTCGAGAAGACTGAAAAAAGACTAGCTAGATGGAAGGCTCAATACATTTCTTTTGGTGGTAGACACATTCTTATCAACTCTGTTCTAGATTCTCTCCCAACATATGTTATGTCTCTTTTCACTATACCCGCAAAAGTGGTTAAGAAATTGAACAAAGTTAGGAGAGATTTCCTTTGGCATGGCTGCAAAGAGAACAAAGGATACAATTTGGTCAAGTGGGCAACAGTTTTGCATAGAAAAGATAAAGGTGGCTTGGGCATTAGAGATTTGAGGAAGCATAATAACAACAGTCTTTTGATGAAATGGTTGTGGAGATACACAGAAGAGAGGCAAGCTTTGTGGAAAGATTTGATTAAATGTAAATATGGGGAGGATGAATTCTGGTGTAGTAACATAAGCACGGATGCTTATGGAGCGGGGGTTTGGAGAGCTATTACAAACTTAAGGCCCAAGTTAGAAGCAAATTTACATATCAAGGTGGGGGATGGAAGGAGAACTAGATTCTGGTGAGATGTATGGATCAAACAAACCCCCCTAAAGACTTGTTTCCTGATCTATTTATTTTGTGCACTCTGAGGCAAATGATCAGTCATTGCTGGACAGTACAAGGTTGGAATCTCTATTTCAGAAGACTTCTAAATGATTGGGAAATAGAGAAAGTAGCCAAACTGTTGGAGGAAGTGGGGGATTTAGCAGGCATCAATACTGACAATGATGTTGTTAGATGGTCACACAGTAAGGATGGGATCTTCACAGTTGGCAGGGCATATAAAAAGGAGTGCAACTTGCGAAGTAACAGATACCAGAGTTCATGGAAAAATATCTGGAGGGCTGCAGCATCAACAAAAGTTAAATGTTTTACTTGGTTGGTCACTAGAAAGGCATGCTTGACACATGAAGTCTGAGGAAGAAAAAAAAGATCATAATTCCGTGGTGCTCTTTATGTGGGAAGACAAGAGAAACTAACAACCACTTATTCTTACATTGTACTTCCACAGCACAAATATGGTCCATGTTTCTCAAATATTCAGAAGTGAAATGGATTATGCCCGAACATTGGAGCTGATTTACTTAGTTGTTGGATCAGGAGAGGAGGTAGCAAGAGACAAAAGACCTGGTGGAATTTGATTCCACATTGCATTTGGTGGATAGTGTGGAAGGAGAGAAATAGTAGGAATTTTGAAGATATATCCAATTCCATTCACAAGGTTAAGTGGAATTGCATTGTATCTCTATATTTTTGGTGTAAAGAGATAGGATTAGAGGATTCAGATCAACTTTTTGATAACCTCTTAGAATTCTTAGGATCCCTGTAAGTATTTTGCTCTTTGTTTTTTTTTTCTTTCTGATTTTCTAAAGGTCCCCACCATATCCTTATAGCATATCCTTATTGCTGAAGAATACAATGTTTTTGATCCAGAAATTTGAGATTGTTTTAGAACAACAGATTTCTTCCACACAACGCAAATTTCAGAAAAAGAAATAGACGTGAAGAACTCCTCATAACGAATAGTGACTAACAAGCTGTTAACTCAATTAGGAAGGAATACCATACTCACTGGGAGATAAAATGAATAATAAGCAGTTTTATACTGGACAATCCGCCCATGACTGCATGAAATCACATCATCAATTAGTTAAATAATTCAAGTAAAACTGAAAGCAGAACTTTTTAAAAGATTATCGATGAAGTCTCCTTACATAGACAATGAGTACTTTGATAAATCTTTCTCTTGTGTGGTAATCAAATCTATCATTTGTCCACAGGCAGTCTGGTATTCCACCTGTAAAAACATGTTGGCAAAGCCAAAAAGAAAAAGGTAAAAATGTTCAGCATTATAAAAAGTTTAATTAAGAGGCCTCATTGCGCATAAGAAGACTCAACCTCATTAAACAATTCAAGAAGATCAACATAATAAGGCTTTCCTCTAAAGTGCTGTTTAAGAATAACAGCTATGTGGTTGCGAAGAAGTACGCCATCATTAACAGCAATCATGCCAACCTGCAAGAAATATTAAAACAATAGTCACTCCCAACAGTTCAAAGAGAAAAACAGTAGTCTCTTAGCATGCACACATACCTTGTCTAATCTGAACCAGCATGGTTGACCTCGGCGTTTGGAAGAGCCATCCATTATATCATCATGAACAAGGAAGTATCCTTGAAGCTGTAGCATACATTCCCACAAACCATACACTCAGAAGAATTCAAAAACTAACAATGTTTCTTGGGGGTTATAATAAGGCTCAGGTGTAGCTTGAAGAGTGCTTAGGTTGCATACCCATTCAATGCACCAGCCAAGGGAGGATATTAGAATGATCTCCTCACTACTTAGTTGTTTCCCTTCTTTCAACAAACTGTAGCTATCAATAGCAGAGAGCCCGTGATTCAGCTTTCCTGTACAGAGAGTGTATAAAGTACTTGGAATAAAAACTTTTTAGCTATGAAAAATGAAAGCGGAAGAAACTTTTAGAATAAGTAGAACTAGAACTTCATTCCAACCTCCAAGTAGATTGTGGTCCAACATCTGAAAAAACCACGGGAAGTATAAATTAGTTTGAAGTTGAAGTTCAATTTGGACATGTAATTTTGATTTTCAAGTAGTATGATTTTCTCATTAACAAGAAAACCACAAAAGTTGAGAAAACAATAAAAGAAAAATTTAATTATTATACAAAGCGTCTTGCCAAAATGAGCAAACCATAGTTCATAAACAGCATATCGAAATATTCTACGCCGCCGCATTCATAAATTGCATATCTCTATGTCAAACTTTCAATACAAAGTAATTATTTAACACAATCTTTCACATGGAACGAACAATCTTTTCACAGCGAGCATCAGTCTATTTTTTAAAATTTAAAATTATACGTATTGATATCATATTCCAAATCAGCCATTCAAACACCTGCTAAATAATCAAAATGGGGAAAAGCAGAAGAAATTAAAAATTACCTTTGCTATCCAATCACAAGCGCCATTAGTTAAATTAATATCCAAGTCCTTTAAAATCTCGGCTTTAAGTTTTTCATAAACCTCCATGAATTCTGCCCTAAAATCACTCATTTTTCAATGTTGTTTTCGTTTGTTTTAGAGGAGGAGAATTTTTAGGTTTTCGGCACACAATGCTTTTTATTTCTTATATAGGAAACAAATAGTGGTGTAATTGGTTGAAAAGTGGCAAAGGGCACTTTTAATCCATCAGCTGTGGCTGATAAATTAGAGTGTGTTTGGATTGACTTAAAAGTTCGTCAAACCTACTTTTAAGTCGGTTTTTGACTCCTGGAAGTATTTGTCAAATATAAAAATAACTTAAAATAAGTTAGGAAGTGTTTGGCAAGGTTAAAAATAACTTAAAATAAGTTAAACCAAAAGTAGGCTTCCCCTACTTCTTATTTTAACCTTAAAAGCTACATTTTTTAAGCCAACTCAAACGGACTCTTAGTATTGTTGTTGAATGAAATCAAACAAATAGGTCAATTATGTATCACTTGCCATAGTAGTCCATTACAGAAAATAGATAATTTTAAAGTTAGCCACCAATCCACACATTTTTTGGAAATATAAAAATAAAGTGAATTTTTGTAGGGCTTACCTACTTCTTGTTTCTTAATGTTGGTGGTGTTTGGATCGGATTACGTGCATTATGACTATTTTACTAGATACACATCATGTTCCATCAGCATAAGTTGTGAATATTGTTACGAATTTGATGATGATGGGATTGCACTAGGGATCAACTCTTAGTCCGTTCCTATTTGCATTGGTGATTGGATGTATTGACACATTATATTCAAGGAGACATGCTATGGTGCATGTTATTTGTTTGGCTGCCTGTCAAATGATCTTCGTTTTTTTCTGTTTGTTGCTTAAATTCCAAATAGCCATCAGCTGGTAAGTGGAGAAATCAGGGAATATGCTGCATCTCAGAGACTTAGCACATTTTCTGCCATTCCTGTGATGCTTAATGATGCTCTCTTTTCCAGCTTATTGGGATGACTCCACGAAGCAGGTCTATTATGGGAATGCTGTGAATCAGAAATGTCCTGGAACAGGCTAACTGACTGACAAAGATCAATAGGAGTTCCTACTTTACAATATTCATTATAACACTAGTGGTTCCAATATTATTGGCAATTACAATCTTGTATATATTTAGGGCTACAGTGATGTGATGCAGTGGTAGCTGTTTTTGAACTCGATCTGATTTCTTAATGAGTTCTGAAGCTTTGTTAGTATGATATTTAGGTGAAGGAGGGTAATGGGCGAGCTTTATTATTCCCCGAGTTTTGAAACAATTTGTCTGCCCCTCTGGGGTTTATCATTATTGAAGTAGCTTTAATTCTTCGGAAGTTAAGTATAAATGAAAATTTTCTATCCGAACTAATAATTTTGTATGTGTGTCTACATAGCAATTCCCAATGCTACATCTTTCCTATTTGATGATTATGACCCAAAAACAGAGTGAATAGCGAGCCAGCTATCAACAATTATTGATTGGATGGACTAGAGTGTACTGAATTCCTTACTACGTTGAGCTTGGCTGTTGACAAATACAAGGGAATATTCAGGCTATATATCCAAATTGGTAACCCTTGGCATGTTTTCGAAAATGAGCATAAATATTGAACATACATGTGCAGAACATTAAGACATTTGGCATAACATAAAATCTGAGGATTTACTTGCTTCTAGAATAAGTTTCTGATCAGATTAATACCTTAGCCAAGAGAATTGTGGGTGTTTTAAAGTTGGATACACTAATTAGCAATTGTTTATTTTTTAAAACTTGCGGTCTAAAGTAATTTATAAATATATGCGACTATAAATTATCTCAATAAGTTTAAGATAGAAAGCTTAATATTAAAACTTAAGTATAGGAAGGTAAGAAATTTTTTTGGAACTGACTAAAAAGGAAAGAATGTCATACAAATTGGAACGGAGGGAGCAGTAAATAACAAGAGACAAATTATGTAGCTTCCTATTTTGAAAAATAAACACATGTGAAACAGGCCAATAGAACAAAGTAGAAAATTCATGAAATACACACATGTTTTATTCATTCGAAGAAGCACAAATAACTATCACTAAAGTTGTGCGCACTATGGAGTTACCTATGATGGGGAGCTGGTTATCACCAAAGTGGAACTTTCTGGTGCTGATTCAGATAGTCTGGCTCCAAGCAGGTACCAAACACCCCGTGAAATGAAAGACGCACAAATAATTCTAAACATTAAACACAGATATTCAATAATTCTATTTCTTACTTCTGCCTCTTATAAATCTTTGCCAAGGATGACTTTAGAATTGCTTGCAATGCTTTGCTTGGCTGAGCTTCAATAGAGTTGATCAGTTTTGCATATGTCTTCTTCTCATAATCCAGGAGCACATCCTACAAATTCCCAAAAAGAACAGGCCAAAAAGAGTGGGGTATCTAGCGTATCACATATGAGTTCAACTGAATACCAATATTTCCAACACGAAACATGGATGTTCTTCTTTTAGCAAATACAGGGTAATAACTAATAATCATATCAAAAACATGATTTCAGTATAAAGAAACCACATCAAAATGCACTTAAACAGCTCAATCAATCAAGTTTTTTGGTATGATGTTTTTCTAATCATCAAGTACGAAAACCACACCATTCTTCTTGATGAAGTCATGAGTTGTGTGATCAACCACGTTTGTATTGTTCAGCTCCAGATTGTAGAAATCCATCTTATCATCTGTAAATAGTGGTCCAGCATGCCATGTACCATGACTCAATTTAATAAACTTTGGACCTGAAATTCTGAAAGCCTGCACTTCATCAACAGCAGGAGGCACATAAAAATGCCCACAATGTGACTTCACAACAATATCAACAGCACCCTTGGTATCAGTTGGATCTACAATCGATGGCTTAGCAACTCCAAGATACCAAACATTGCCTCCAATTGATCCAAGACATTGAGTGACATTGGCATGATGTGTTATCTTAGAAAATTTGAGCGATCGATCTTTAAGTTGCATAATGTAAAACCTAGGAATCCCATTGCTCAAATCAAGCTGAGCATCACGAGGACCGAATTCTTCCCCATCTGGAGACGCTTCAATGACCTGACACCACCAACAAAATACTCAGTGAAATCCTACACGTGTGGTCCGTAAGGGTAGAGTGTACACAAACTTTAACCCTACACCTCACGAAGGTAGAAAGGTTGTTTCTGGAGGACCCTTGGCTCGAGTACAACAAATTAAAGTAGGTATGAGTATGAAAAACAATATTGAAGAAAACATAGCATGTATAAGGAAACACTAACGACAAATTAATGCAATAATTGAAACAGGATAAACCATAGCTGCTGATAGCTCGTGTAGGTAGAGAGACTGTTTCTGGAGGAATTGTAGTTACGAAAAACACAAAATGACAGAGAAGAAAAACATAGCAAGTAACAAGGAATCAGTAACAACAAAATAGTGCAATAACCTGAACACCATAAACAATATATGATAATAGAAATCAAAAGTAACTACCTGTCCAAACTCTTTAAAAGTTTCTGCGGTTGCTTCTATAGGTTTCAGCTTCACGACTGACGGCGACGTCGTGCTAACGCCGGAAGATTCCATTGATACAGAAAAGGAACGACGGCGAGTAGGCAATATGGGAAGGGAAAAGTAGTGAATGGATTGATGAGTAGATTCTGTGAGTGATTTCACCGGAAAGGAATCGGAACTACTATCGGCGATCGGAGATCCGGCGAGTCGGCGATGTAGCCTGACGGATGGCGAATATATGAAAGGCTTCAATTTTAGCATCTTTGAGCATCACTCTACAAATTGGATAACTTTTCAATAAAAAAATCAAAAATAATACGAACATTTCATTTTAAAATTATTCTAAAATTATAAATATTCTTTCATTTTTAATATAGCACAATAAAGAAAAGTTTCATATATGTGTAAATATGAATTTGGTTATGTATATCTAGGTAGATATCTCTAAAAAAATGTATATATTTGTAATCCACGTTTCCTAACAATAAAGATAAAGTGATATATCAATAAAAACTATTCTGAGTGATAAGTACTCATTCATTTTTAACTAGAAATTAATAATTTGAGTCTCCTAATAGAAAATCGCCTTTGTCATAAGAAACATTTTGCCACTTAATATGAAACATTTTAGTGCAAATTAAAATTTACGCAGACTCAGATATAAATATCGAACGAATAAAAAGGATTCCACTAGTTGATTTGATTGCACTTAATGGGCTTACCTGAGTTTGATTACCACTTTTAGCATTTTCCCCAAATTTTAATATTTCAGAGAGTTCAACACCCACTAGGTAGTAAGTAACTAACATGTCTCATTTATTTGAAGGGGAAAAACAAATAACAAGTTCAACACCCACTAGGTAGTAAGTAACTAACATGTCTCATTTATTTGAAGGGGAAAAACAAATAACATGTCTATGTTAAAGATAGAGATGTCTCCGACACTTTCAAATCGTGATTCCGCCTCTTAGCACAGATTTGGATTATTCAGGCTCCAAGCAGGTACCGAACACTCGATAAAAAATAAAACAAATAATTAGAAACATTAAATATTGAAGTTAAATAATTTTGGGTTTGAATGGGCTTAATAAAAGCAGCTTTAAAAAAGTACTTTTGAAAGTGCTGAAACTTATTTTTAAAATAAACAGTTATGCGTTTGGATAATAGTGCTGAAGTTAAAAAAAAGTTGTTGATGTGTTTGACAAATAAGTGTTGATAAACAGTTTTTAAATCAAAATGTCTGAAATACCCTTAAAAGTTGTTAACATAATAAAAGTTAATTAATTTATATTTTATAGCCATAAATAATTATATTTTGCTATCATTCACATATTTCTTTCTCATCACAAATTATTTATAAGAGGAATATAAACTTATTATAGATTTTAAAGATATATAATTTGAATAGATCAAAGAACGATTTAAGATTTTATTTTAGTTTCATCCATAGGTAATAATAATAGTCTATCATTCACATATTTCTTTATTATCACAAATTATTTATAAGAGGAATATAAATTTTTATTTAAGTTATATGTGCAACTTATTTTACATTTTAATAATATATAATTTGTATAGATCACTTGAAAGATTTAAGATTTATTTTATTTTCATTCATTAATAATAGTAATTGTCTATCATCCACACGTGAAAAGGGAAAAATAGAAGAAAGAGATGTTAAGGTTATACGGGTAATTTGAAGATTGTATAAAAACATTAAGGTTAAAAAGGTAAAAATGTGGTCAACTTAAAATAGTTTATAAGTTGAAAAAAAGAAGCACTCTTACCCCAGCTTTTAACTTTTGGCTTAAAATAAGTTTTTTTTAAAACTTAAAATAAGTTATTTTGAGGATTGCCAAACAACTAAATAAGTCAAAAATTAGCTTTTAAGTTAGTTTGACCAGCTTTTAAGCTGAACCAAACAAGTTCTTTATCTCCTACTTCTGCCTTTTGTATATCTTTGCCAAGAATGACTTCAGAACTGCTTGCACTGCTTTGCTTGGTTGAGCTTCAATGGAGTTGATCAGCTTTTCATATGTACTCCTCTC